GGTGGATGTCCATCCCCGCGCGACGCCCAGACTGCGTCCCAGAACTGTAGTGGAGACTGGTCACAGGGCTCAGAGAGAGCGAGACTCTGCGACTTACTCCTCACACAGCCTCGCAGACAAGACTGAACTCTTCACTAAAACTCCTCCAATCACAAGTCTCGCAGTCTTCACAATCCATCCTTCACAATCAACATTATAATTATACAATTATTAACATTAACATCCCCGCGCTTGCCATACTCAGTAAGGTCCTCCACAACTACGACACGTCACATGACACGTGGGTGTGCCATGCCATGATGTATAGTAATTACCATAATAGACTGCATGATCATAGTCCCCACGTGATTTAAAAAATCAGATTATCATAAAGATTGTAATCCCCCGTGTAAAACGTCGGATGTAGTTTTCTTTTCCTGTGTCACCACTCATTCATCACGAACTCACCACATCATAACACATACTGAATATTATATAGTATAATACACCCTGACAAAAACAAACGCTCGAACTGTCTCCTCAAGAAATCCCAATACTAGACACACACAAACTCTAGAAGTGGCGGGGCTCCATGGATGACGTCGAGGCTAGATATGGGGATGTAGGTGTCCGATCTTTGATCTGTGCTCTCTCGCGATGCACTCGGCAATCCAGACTGATGTTTCGTCCTCCTGCTCCTTCAGTGTCGCGTACGATGTAGAACAACGCCGAATGGAACTGCTGCATGAACGACCGTCACGTAATCTCCACCGTGTGCAGGAAGAATGGTGCTCTATATTATGCACTGAGAAAGTTGTAACGACAAACAATTTCACCAATTACCTGAAATTAATGGATAGCGAACCACAAAATATAAATTGTGCATTTTCGAGTAAGGAAAAGTCATGAAAGCGGGAAAACTCGGTAGCGTTGCTACTACATAAAGTTTTGAACACTTATCCCACCGACTCAGACTACATCCACCAGGTAGTGAGTTGTGATGAGTCAGAGGGCATGCACGTGTGAGTGTACAGACCTCTTTCTCAAAGAACTTGTCCTCCAGAGTCTTTTCGCCAGGATTAGTACCTGCCCCTGCAAACACCGCGGAGTACTCCTGTAAACAACAACAAACAAACAAACAAACAACAGAGGGAGCAATGAAAACTAAAGTATATACATGTGTTGGAGAAAGAGAGAGAGAGAGGGAGTGAATGAAGCATATTATCATTACATAGTTTCATAGTCTGGTAGAATGGGCTGAATAAGCTAGGAAGAGGCTAGGTACGTATTACAGCTAAACGGAGAGAGAATGCAACACACAGGATAGAAGTCAGCAACAGCCTTGACGTGGTCGTAGTCCTCGCACTTGGCGAGTCGAGCCAGCCCTTCGGGGTGGAGTCGACCGCATGTCGGGTACAGCTTCTCCCTGTCGTCCATCGTCAGCTCCGTACCAAAGGAGTTAATGGTGATTATGAACGCCCTCCTGTCTGCTTCGAACTGTTGTAAAAAATACACAAAAGTAAGTTTTTTGGGTTAAAACTATGAACATTTTGATACACGAAGAACCTCCTGTACCATTATTATGGTGTATGTGGATAACTGACGTCATTATCATTTTATTGTGCGACACTTCAAAGCGACTACTAAGTTGCACTTAGTGGCATTATGGTGACGTGAAGTACGTGAATAATGTATGGTTAAGTACCTGGAGAATTTCTCCCATCACTTCAGCAGTGGTGCCTCCAATGTCCTGACAGAACTTATAAAAGTCCTCCAGATACGCCTGTGTGTGTGTGATCAACACCAGTCAAGATAATAATATGCAGGAAGTGGGGCAGAACAGAGAGAGAGAGAGAGAGAGAGAAAGAGAGAGAGATGGCGTCTACCTTGTAGAGTGCGTTTCTGATGATCTCGATGTTCAGCTCGTCCAGGTCTGTCTGAGATATACAAGTCTTGAAGTACGGACCTGCATACATGGTAAGACCCCAATAATATTTGGGGCAAAATATTGTCTCCACTCACAAAATTTGACAGAAAAAAACCTATGTGGAATAATCTAAAGCCACAATAATTTTACGGACAGGGAGAAAACTTGGTGCATTGGAAAGAAGAGACACACCTTTCATTGATGATGGTTCATAAACTATGGAGTTTGTTCTTACTCAAACACCACGTTATCTACCCACCCAGAGGTGTGTCAACAAGGACGGCGCTGTAGAGTTCGGCCGGTGTGTTGGCAATGTTGACAGACTCCATCTCCTCGAAGCTCCCCAGAGGGTGGCACTTGCTGCGGAGCTCCCCGATCTGTCTCTGGTGGAGGGTACCGGTGATGAGGAGGATGATGTTGTCTATCATGTAGCTGTACCTGTGGGTGGAGGGAAAGACAGTACATGGAAACTTCTGAACCAAGGACACCTCTCTATAAGGGACACTTTGTTCTTAATCTATAAGTATAGAAAATTTTCCCTCTATCCAGAAATATTACTTGAGGGCGATAAGTAATTCGAACTTATGTTCTACAAGTTTTGGAGATTTTTCAGCTATCACAAGTAGCACGGTCTCCACATTATGTATCAACTAACAGATAAGTTAGGCGATTTCGTTCGCTTGTGAGCTCGACTTCACAGGTTGTTCAGAGCGAATGGTGCCTTTATCAACGAACAGGTGTCCCTCTTACAGGAGGCTGAATGACCGTTTTACAGACACTTTATTCACACTCGTGTTCTTGCTAGTTACTACACATCCTCGCTACAACATGTACCTAGTCTCTTCCTGTATACATCCAGTAAAGTTTTTTCTTTCTATCACACATTGGCCTTGCTTCCCTCCTTCCTGCCTTTACTCCCATACTGTTGATAGGTTCGTTTTGCCTTCGCTTTTCTACCTCTTAGTTCACACAGATACATAGCTACATGTCATAGGAGCTCTTCACCATACCGTCCAATATTTCAACTGGTACCAGAGACACACACACGAACACGCAGAGAGATGTCTCACGTGACATAGTCCAGAAAAGTGCTGAGAGGCGGGACTGAGTGGTTCCGAATGTGTTGGAACTCCACCACAAGATGCCCCCTCAGTTTCTCGTCTATCACGGCCACGGGGACTGGACTCGGCTCGTTCTGCAGGAAGTTTCCGTAGTCCGTCGCCTGCAGTTGCACCTTCAGGTCTGCAGAGACAGAGAGGAGAGAGAGACCGCGGTGTGACGAGCGAACCGGTGGAGGAAAGTCTGACCTTCTACGGTCTCGCACTGGACGAGGTTGAGATAGTCGCCTCTAGCGAGGATCCCAGAGCGGAAACCCCTCACAAGGCCCTCCAGGTAGCCGTTGTCCACGTTGAAAATGTACTCGTCCATGGCCCACAAACGAAAAGAACTTTTCTCCACCACCAGCTGTAGTCACATGACTTGATGATTGCGTCACTTAACCTTTGACCCGAGACCCGCCTTCTTTCCCAAATAGCTGAGCTAACACTAGCAAGACAACGAATGGCTGCTCTGCTGAGGACTTATCTTCTTCCCCTGCTCGCCCTCTGCGCTGTCCCTGCACTCACCTCCCTCCCTGGGACCTGCTACAGAGAAATAACGGGGCCTCGACCGAGTCACGTGCTCACCAAGCCACCCCACGAGCACCTAGACCCGTCCTCTCTCCCGGACAACTTCGACTGGCGTAGCGTCAACGGAACCCTCTTCGTCTCAGAGGCCACCAACCAATTCCTACCCTCCCCGTGCGGGAGCTGCTGGGCCCATGCCTCGACTGGAGCTCTAACAGACCGCTTCATAATCGCCAGAAAGGCCCGAGTCTCGCAAACCAAGCTCTCTCCTCAAGTTCTCTTGGACTGCGCCTCTGACGCGGGGTCTTGCTACGGGGGCAACGACGTCCTGGCGTACAAGTTCATCCACGAGCACGGCATAACGGACGTCACGTGCTCCCCCTACCAAGGAGTGGACAACTACTACTGGGGAGAGATCCCGTGTGACCAGATGATGTGTCGAGCCTGCGACCTCGCCAGCACCTGCAAGTTTGTGAACGGGACAAAGTACTACGTGTCCGAGTACGGCTCTGTTCAAGGCGAGGACGAGATGATGGCTGAGATATACGCCCGCGGACCTATAGCCTGCTCAATCTACGCCCACAGTCCGGCTTTCCTGGACTACAAGAGCGGCATTATCCAAGATCCGACGGCATACAACTACACGACACACGTGGTGGCGATCACTGGTTGGGGAGTGGATCAGGACACGGGGATGAAATTCTGGGTGGGTCGGAACTCTTTTGGCACTGCCTGGGGCGAGGAGGGTTGGTTCCAGCTCCACAGGGGCGTTAATTGCCTCGATATTGAGGAGCACCCCTGCGCCTGGGCCGTGCCCAAACTGTGATTAAACCGACGTAATTTTATCATCAGACCAAATATTGTATTTTTATGGACTTTTTATAAACGCATTTCCGTTTAGTGTTGGTTCAGCCCTTTGCTCTGGGTGCGTGATCTATTGCCTTAGGTGCTACGGTTGCAAATTATCGTTTTGGTGATCACATATATACATATACACACACACAAATTTGATAAAAATATAGGAAATAATAATTATAAAGAGATATATGGAGATCATATTCTTTGGAAGAGGAGGCCGGGAGAGAAACCCGGTATTGTGATAAGTTCTTGGCCTGCCAGTGAGGGGCGGAGTCTGGCTGCCTGTCGAAGTAGAGCCACGTGTGTCTGAGGGCCAGGAGCTCACCTGATAGACAAGAGACCTCGTCTTCAGCAAACTCTACCTGCAGGCCACGGGGGGAAAATGAGAGCCTCAATAATCATGATTGTCTTGTTTCTGTCTCGTTCTGGTCCACAGCATAATTCCCCCTGTACGATAATATCATCAAACACAGAGTGCTTGGGAAGTGGCAATGGTGCCACAAGTTCCAACACACGTGCTCACCGCAGCACAGCTCTAATGGGGACATGAGTGCCACCCCATTCTATATAGAGTAAGCCATGACCCTCCCACAACGATGACACACTTCGTTAAGATGCCATATAGGCAGCAACTCAAGGGATATAACATTCGTACTCAGTGGCATGACTTCTATTGCCACATAGCAGCCCACAAAACTCACAGAAAAACTTCCACGGTTTGCCTGTATAAAGGGTAAACCCCTCCACTCACCTGAAATCGTGATGGCTCTCTGTAGGCACGGTATATACCCCTGAATGCAGACCCCGAGAGTGCCAGGCTGTCCCTGTTGAGGTAGATATTGGCCAGTGCCACGTTTCCATTGCTCCTGTGGGCAGTATAGAAGCCTGTGTATTGGGTAGTGTTGGGAGGTAGGGGGTAGGCGAGAGTGGCAGGGGTTTTAGAGCCGCTACAAATGCGGGAATGAGGAGGGAGTGGAGTTCGCGAACCAGTGCCAGCTTATTGCTGGCCACATTCCGGAGAAGAGAACATTCAGACCTGCAGAAGAGAGGGAGCCGATGAGAGGGAGAAAACACACGTCAGGTGAAAGGTTCCAGAGGCAAATCTTTTTTAAGTTACTGCTTTCACATTTGTCCCATGGTTACTACCCCTTTGCATCGTTCCTTTCCTAATATAGCTCAGTGGGAACAGAGGAGGAACAGTGTTATGTTAATGGATCAAGTCTCACACAGCACAGCAAACTGTTGCAGTGTGTAGCAGTATATACTGGCCTTTCTTAGCTCCTTCTATTACTCTGCACGATAGCTACAGTCAAGTCGACAACTGAGTATGACAAAAAGGTTAGTTGTTACCTAGCTTTAGGTCGGGGACGACGCTGAAGACAGCGGAATAGCCTCTGAGGTTGCCTCCCTTCATGATGAGAGTGTAGTCCTGCTGGTAGCTCACCTCCCAGGGAGCTCCGACACCAGTGTCCAGGTCTCTGTTGGTGTAGGCTGCAGGTGAAACAGCAATCACCAATCACTGTCTGCACTTGGCTAGTGTAGTCCAGCTCCCCATTATTGTACATGATTTTAATTCTAAGTGCAATGTTAGGCCGTTAAAACATGATGAGGACAGGTCAGTCAGCTAGACACCAGGCTCAAAGAGCAACCAACCATTAACTCCGCCTCTAGTTTTTATTTGTAGGGGAAGAGAATCTAGATATCAAGGGCTCTTAGGTAAACTGTGGGAAGGGCCAATGATCAGTCTGCTCTTGGACTTGGAATAGGGAATAACTATGGTGAGAAGTTATTGTTTCCATCCCAGTTAGTGTAAGCTGTGGTAAGAGGATCTAAGCATTACACACCTGGCATTGTGCCTAAATAGGAAATGCTTTGTGTCAGAAACTCATTTTTAAGGAGAGGGGATTAATTATCAAGGGCCATTTGATATGATTGCTGACCAGAATTGGTATGTAGATGCACTGACTTGGTAATAGGATGAGTCTTCTCAGAGATGGCGAGAGGACCCCGGAGAATGCTGGGTCATCATCTGCCGCTCCATTGGAGTAGAGAAACTTTGCCAACTGCAGCAGGAGAGAGAGAGAGACGAAACTTTTCACAAGGCAAAAGGGCTGCAAAATGTAGTTGTCTACGTTGCATGCTACTAACACAACAATCCATGAAACTTCCACAGATTCTTCTGGGATAAGTAAACACTTCCAACATACTATCTTTACTGCTTCTTGTATATACTATTGGTTTGCTGGACTGCTGCCCCAGAATATACTGGTCGAAACAGACATTAGCAGATGTCTAGCCCTAGTGCAAAATACTGGTAAGGTCTAGACAAAAATCACAAAAGATTTAGGGCAGTAAAAGCAGAAAAATTTGGATAATCAAACACAAAGTCGAGTGTTTGGCAGCCTTGTCAAGGAGCCACACGAGACCGAGCTGCAGCCATGGACGACCGACCCACCTTGTTGAGGTCACTGGCAGAGGAGTACATCTGACTGGCAGGTCCCCACCAACCAATGTCATAGAGTGGCTCCTCACTCCCGTCTGATTCATAGCCAGTCGCCAGGCGGTCCCCAACACTGCAGAGAGGGAGGGTGTGCATGTAGCAGACTAGAACCTTACTCAAATTAAACATTTTTCGAGAAGGAAAACTTTGTGATTTGGTGGCACATATTCTGCCTAAAAATGTTCACAGATGTCTTGAAGAAATTTGTACAATTTTTTCTCCCTCTGATGTACTATAATATGCTCTGGCAAAAAAACAGAGGTTATCTTTGTATGTTGCCAAATCGAATCTGTCCCGATGCTTCCATGCCTAAACCACATGTCAGAGGTGCATTATCTACAGCAAGCATGTTGTGCACAGTGTCATTTTCCCCCTATGGTAGTCAGCACGTAGTCAGCACGTAGTCAGCAGGTAGTCAGCAGGTATGTACCTAGAGCAGAGTTACTACACAATTTTAGCATTGGGGAACTCAGCCATTTTGTGTGTATACAAGGACTATACTCTAGCACGTGCAGTAGTGTATGTACATTATATAGCACAAGCCAAAACTATAAAGAGGAACCATCGTAAAATGGTGTTGGGGAGTGGAAAGTTCCTCATGTGGTTTGCTGAGCTACTCTGGAGGAAGGCTAAGTTCCTACAAGCACAATACCGTGGGATGTGCCATCATAATCTTCCGAGCTTCATCCAACACTACAGCTTTGTGTTATCAAACCAATTTTGAACAGGAAACTGAATGTATATAAAGTTCCCCCATGTGGTTTCTCTGGGTTTCTCCAGAGGAAAACTAACTTCCTCACGCAAACACACCACACACACAACATGGGATATTATATGAAACCCAACCTGGTGTGAGAGTAGTTGAATCCAGTGCCACTCATTCCCAGGGGTCTCAGTATGTTTTCCTGTAGGTAGTCCTCGTAGCTGGTCTCCGGGAAGAAATGGGACACCAGACACCTCCCCAGCAAGCCAAACCCAAGATTGCTGCAAACAAAGTCAATGTCCTATGATCGTGCTATGGGTGTATACCATGCCACATGCATGCACAGTGGGTAGTGTCATGTGATGTACACAAACAACATCGACTTAGTCCCAGAACAAGATCATGAAATAACGCTTCGCGCGTGATTGAGTGTAGCGCTGTGTACCAATACCTGTAAGAGGGTTGGGTCCACGGTGGCAGAACAGTGTACTGCTGACTCAGTCTCTCTAGAATGGTGGTGGTGTCGTGGGGACACAGGTTGACTGCTGGGTCCTCTGGTTGGCCACACGGTGCCTCTCGAGGCAGCCCTGACATCTGCACACAAATGTATACATTCTTTGTTGCATGGTGAGAGACTGTGAATACGTCACATTTTCCATATTCTGCAAGCCATGCGTTCATCAATGGGGATCGACCGGTATGAATGTCGGAAGACACACTTTTTGGGGTGTTACTATCATCACCCTCTTTCACACTTACATACGACTGTATAAATCTATCAGATGACTTGTTGGCAACACTTATCCACTATCGCCTTACTCACCGAGGTCATTACTTGTCGCAGCGTGATATCCTCCGACGATGACGTGAAACGATTATTGATGTGAAACGAGGGACAGAAATCGTTCAATGGGTCATCGAGAGAGCGTACGAGGCCGCGGTTGTACATGTGGTAAACCATCAACACCTGGACATAACAGAGACAGTATATACTTCCTCCGAATCCCACTGAAAATATGTGCAATGAATTTTCAAAGCGAGGAATAATGAGTATATAATTGTACCGTGTGCGGTAGGTATATACACACACATAAGCTTAGGTATACATGTATGCTTTGACAATCGGTACGAATGGAAAGTTGACCACCCCGGAAGGTTTACACAAGTCGATTGCGTGTTTATGCACACTATGGTGCATAAACACTCACAACGAAGATTTTTGAAACGCTGGCAATACGGTAGAGTGTGTCCTTGTCTGGAGTTGCTTGGGGTACATCCTTCTTGGTGGCTCCAAAACCACTGCTCCAGAGGTCCGTGTCTCTGTAAGTGATACTGGCCACTAGCCCAGGCTGGGGGGAAGGAATGGGAAGAGGGAGGAGGAGGTATAAACAGTGTACATAATGACATCCCATCAAGGCCATCAGGGCTAAGTGTGCTACAATGAGTGGTATATTTGTCTACTTTATGTGATGTGGTGGGGCCTCTCAGTTTACCTGCCACAATAATACCTAGCAACCTGGACTTGAGAGTAAAAGTACAAGGATGAGAAAATGATTATGTCAATTATAGTAGTTATGCAGTGGGAGTTGGGATACACATGCTGCACGAAGGTTTTCCGAAATGTTTAGCATACCATCGTTTCGTCGTCAATAAGACCCGCCAGCCGCCTCTCGACTGCAGCAATGGCGGACTCTATCTTGTCCGGCAGGGGAGAAGGGAGAGGAGAGGGAAACGGGTGGATAGGGCACCCCAAAACTGAAGACTGCTGGTGCACATCCACTTCTGGGTTTACCTGGTAAATGAACACCGGAACACTGAATTCCCTGCGAGGTCTTGCAAAGCGGTAGCTAGCTAACTACTGCACTGCTCGAGGCCATACATCCACGAGCAGCTTTGCACCTCAGCTATGCGCGGCATTTATGCAGGTTCGCTTTTGCTTGGGTTTCGCAAGGTGCTTCAGGCTGTACTGAAGTGTGGTGAGGTGCCCACACCGCATGCAGCCTCTCTCTCACCACATTAGTCGCTTCTCCTCCGTCGGACGACGTGTCAGCAGGGTCGCTGCAGGACGGGCTGGAACCGCCGGCAATCCCCAGCCCCGCCGCAATCCCTAGCGCTGCAGAGATCGCGGCCGTCACTGCGATGGCGCTTGCAAACAGCAGCCCCGTCCTCCATCGCTGCCTCTTGCTCTTGCCGCGGGAAAACTCGACGATCTGGAGCGTAGTCCGCGGGGGACACACTTCCACGTCTTGTGCCGTTGTCCGGACCTTTTCTGGTGCCATGATTATCTTTTCGTCGTTGTTTGCATCGGCGGAGACCTCTTTCTCTGCTGCGACCGCACACGAGTCATCTCATGTACCGTGCCACTGCAGGAATGCTACGCTGGTGCACTATTCGCCGTCGACTTGCATTCGAGCTGCGAGCGCTTCGCACTGAGCATATTCATGACGTTATGCATAATTATATATCAGGCATGCGCAGTGTACGTCAGCACCACTCCGCCGCCGTATGTATAATACTGCAGTTGTTGGTGCTACAAGCATTATCCCATTCATTCGCAACACAAAATCACGACACAAATAATAGCGCAACTGACAGCATAATGGAGTGTGGATATCATACATACCAGAAAGAGATAAGGGAATAGGGGGTGTTGTTTCTAGAAGATATCCAAGATAGTAAAGTATACATTACTCCCAGAGAATGTAAGCAGGTCACGCACGAGCCACAGGAACCGATAGGGCATTGTTGTGACAGCTTGTGGTGGTCCCTATTGACGTATATACCATGTGTCTATGATACGAAGCTGTGCCCCCTTCCACGAGGGGTAGGTCTGGACACAGCAATCGATCCACGGACGAGATTTGTCCGACAGCAAACGCTGTGGGTCAGACGAGGTTGAAAACGGGTCCTCCCCACCACAGAGTGATCTCAGTATCTTCAACAGCGACTCTCTTGTGGTGGAATCTTCATTCAAATCGGCCGGCGGAAGGTTCCGGAAGAAATCGCTGGCGTCAGTGTCTGTCAGGTGGACCAGGGAGGTAACACCCGACAAATCCCCGACGAGTAGAGAGAGAGTGTACATGTATCGTAGGTTGACTGGTTCACCTTCGCTGCATCTCTCGCATTCCCCATTACTTCCCTGGTTTTCCTCCTCCTGCGAGGGAGGGTAATGGTGTTTGCACTGCGGACATCGCAGCTGACAACACTGGTCCAGGGGCTGCGCTACTTGAAGGACCTTCACTCGGAGACGGAAACCCAAGGGAACTGCGGAGGAGTCTAGAACATCCCTGAGTGTGCAGAGCGGCCACGTCGGGTGGAACATGACTGTGAGGAAAGTCGGCGGCTCAAAGACGGGCCCGGAATCCACCTGAACAGAAGATGACGTATTTGCTGCAGGATCCACCTGAATAGAAGATGAAGGGTTTGCAGCAGGAGCGACTGAAGTTGTAGTTTGGGATTCTGGTGGGAGTTGGGAAGGTTCCACTGTTACTAGAGCCGGTTGGGCAGTTGCCACCCACTCTAGAAGAAACTGCGCCCTCTGCCTCACATTGTTCGGAACGTCAGCATCGTCACCACCTTTGGCCACCATCTCTCCACTGTCAGACTGCGAGGTGAAACAGACGACTCTCGAACGCTGGTGGCCGCAGCCCAGGATGCTTCCCTCGTACTCTGTGATCTTCACGTTGGTCAGGTAGACAACAGAACCGGGGTCACCTACCTGGGGAAGTTCGTTCTCCTCCGGCGCAAACAGCGTCAACGGAAAACCATCGCTCGAGTTAGTCTCGTCGATCAGCACCACGCTAATGAAATAATCGGGCCCGCGGGATTTCTGAGGGAGAGAGACGGTCTTTACGACACTGAGGATGTTGATCTTGTGGTCGACGATGGTGATGTCGGAGAGTGGGAGGACTGAGGAGCCGCCGCGTAGCGGGGACAGGGGGACGCTGGCCGGTTGGTTACTGGGCCCAGGGAGCTGGGAGTCTGGAGACAGCATGAGAGCATCAACATGTACACTGTGTCGGTAATGAATGAGGTTACAACTTACAAGGTAGAAAGGCAAGGCAAAGCAAACAAGTCGGCTACATCATTGAGTATGCATGTATGCATAAATAGCTCAGCAGGGAGCCTACTTAATGCGTGCATAACAAGGGTTGTGGCATTTGTGTGTCAACAGACTCTGGGAGATAATTCTGGGATATGGAGTGTTGGCATACCATTGATGCAGAGTTACGTCCAGCACCCTTACCCCAATGACTTAGCCTCTGAACTAACTCATTACATGACGATTAGTAGTGTATATATGGACATGGAGATTCGTCAGAGAGTCGGGAAGAAGATGAGTTTAGAAAAGAAAAGAGTAGTAGTAATAAAGGGTTTGCTCCCGCTCCGTTTAGCAAACCCAGCAGCAAGGCTGGTAATTTTTTGCCATTCCTAAGTAACAGGTGCACGAGGGGGGAAAGACGGTAGCCAACAAGACACGTGACATATGTGTAAGCTCTCAGTAAACATGTTATGCATGGCGAATCATCCCAATTAGTATCTATCTATGGAGAAATACTCTAGGTTGTGTTCTACAGGTGTTCTGGGTCAGGTGGTATACCTACGTAGGTAGGGGAAACGGAATGCACCCACTGCAGCTCACCAGTTCCAACAGAGGTGCTCCAGGAGAGAAGTTTCCCAGCTCTCGTCATTTCGAGAGAGTCCCAAGAAGCTCCTTCAGACGTCAGTGTGGGTGCTTTCCCTCGTCCTTCTCGTCCTCCTCCCCGCTGGCTACTGCCCCAGACCAACCAACTGGAGTGATTACGGCACTTCCCCTGGAGCCGGTGGTTGAACTCTCCCACCTCCACCCTCCTCACACACACCACATCCCCGACATTAACCCCTCTCGGGAGTTTCTCCTTCTCCTTGTTGAAGAAGATGAGCGGGACAGGGGAGTTGCTGCACCCCTCGTCCACTATCTCCACGGTGCAGGTGAAGTCACGTCCCCTGCTCTGGTAGGGCGCCTTGAACAGTACTGCAACTCCCATGACACTCACGGGACTGCTGCCGAGTCGCAGGTCGCTCAGTCTCTCGTAGGTGTAGGGCTTTCTGCTCCGTTTAGCAAACCCAGCAGCATTAGTAGAAGCAGCCAGAGCCATTTTACTCCCTCCCTCTCCTCTTCTTCTGCCTTCACAGCTTTCTTACAAAATTCTGCGGACGTAGAGTTCTTGTCTAATGGATGTTGGCCCAACTTTTTGTGCAAGGAACGAATCTACTGCAGTGGAGAGTGCCTTCCAAGAGAAGTGGACTTACCCTACTGCATGCCGGCCCGGGGCATAATGGCGGGATTTATGAGGAGGGGTTTCCCCAATTGTTGTGGGTGGGGCTGAAATTGTGCTGATGTCAGCACTAAAGTTGTGCTGCATGCTGGAGCTCTGGGCGTGTGCGTAGTGTGCTTCACTGGAAAACGTTAGCTATATACTACGGCGGAACACGCCCAAACTAGGCCATGAGTTGTTCTATCTCGTTCGACGGAGTACTGCCGTGCGCCATGCGAGCCTCTGAGGCGGCCGTATCGACCGCGACTGACGTAGTGAGCCGGTTGGGCGCCGATATCTCGGCCGGTCTGACGGCGGAGGAAGTAGAGAGGAGACGAAAGGCGTTCGGGAGAAACGAGTTCACCATCAAGGAGGAGGAACCGCTGTCGAAAAAGTACCTGAACCAGGTTAGCTCTCACGGGGCACTAACGACAAGTTTGCCCACGTTCGACCCTAATGTACCACGCCCAGTCCATGAATGCAGCAGCTCCTCCATGCTCTGCCGTGTATAATTCCCCTCGTGTATATACCCCAATTTCGTCCTTCCTTTCTTTCTCATTCCACCCTCTTCTCCCCCTCTCTAGTTCAATGACCCTCTCATACTTCTCCTACTGGCCTCAGCCATCATCAGCCTCATTGCCCGGCAACTGGACGATGCTTTCTCCATCACTGTGGTATGTTCATCAACCCAACTTCTTGTCATTCCACTTGTTGTATACACATATACGCTTCTGCATTATTATCTAGCAGTGAACAAGTCTAAAAACACCTTCTGTTCTTTAGATTGTCTGATTCAAACATTTTTTTACAACTGTGTTTTTACCTCTCTACAGGCAATTGTGATAGTGGTGACTGTTGCATTTGTTCAGGTAAGTCGCCCAATGACCCTACATAATGTCAGTTATGTAGCGTTTTGTGCGTGTTTTTGGAGTAGGAATACAGGTCAGAGAGGTCACTGGAGGCGCTGAGTCAGCTCATCCCTCCAAAATGTCACTGGTATAATGATAATCTTCTAGAAACTTCTTTTCAATATCAATATGCAGTAGTACACAGTACATCTATGATTTACACTGGATTAACCTGAATTGACCCAATAATCAAAAGCAATTCACATGAAATTGCCTCTTGCTATCACTAATGTCTTCTATGACAGAGGCCAATCCACACTAATTGCAAACGTGATTCTAACAACCGGCGCCTGCATCGATATTGCAAACATGTCTATAATGTTGATCTATTGTAGTGTAAGTGAGCAAGTGGATCGAAAGACGCGTCTTTTCCCACCGTGCAGTGTAAGGAGCGGGATAATGCAAGAGATGCTAGCAGGGGACCTGGTTCCTGGTGACACTGTCAACATATCTCTGGGAGACAGGGTTCCGGCTGATATCAGACTCACCGAGGTTCGTAGTTTTCGCTGCCTCCATATCCACAGCAGTCTGTTTTGTCTGAACTCGTTTCTCACGGCACACCGCGATGCGTGGGGGTAATGCTCTCTCTACGTGACGTTGCTCGGCCTGCTGCCGCATCGTCTGGAAAGCATGTCTGTTTTGTATTATTTCATGTCAACATGTAGCGGTAGGTAGATAACATGTAGATAATGAGGGGATTCAGAAGAGATTATGCATGGGGAAGATGTGTGTTTACACTGCTAATGGAGTTTGCTGGGTTGCAGGGCTAATCTTAACCCCCTCTCCCCTCCCCCCTCCCTCCCTCTTCCTTCTTCTACGGTTGGTCCTATCTGCATGTTGCAGGTGGTTGATTTGGAGGTGGACGAGTCCAGCTTCACCGGAGAGACAATCCCGTCACGCAAGAGCACGCTGCCCCAGGTAGATACGTACGTATGTACATGTGTATACAACAAGGTCTCAAGGCAAAGGCAAACCAAATTATTATTTACACAAAGACACCCAGGACAAGTCTTTTTCCAAAGAAAATAAGAGCTGCCCTCGGTGAGATTCAAACCCACGACACAAGGCGAGCGTTCTACCAACTGAGCTACCTACTCAGCAGGTAGGGGTTCAAATCTTCAACACAAGACATTGTATAGTGGAACCTCAAAATCAGAGACCCTGGGACCATGAAAAAATGCAACGGTCTCCTTTATTCGGAGATTATAGGAATATAGCAGGGGATTGAAACAAGCATCATCCTTTATAGAGAGGTGTCCTTTATTTAGAGTATATTCCCATTAAAGGTGTTTCCACTGTACATATCCTTTCCCGGGTGTAATGTCCACGTGTGCTAGTGTCCGTTGTATTTTATGTAGCAGCTGCCAGGCGTTGGCACTAGCAGTGACCGCTGAAATTGGCTCAGCTGTAGACCTACAAACAGTCCCACACGTGCACCACAATCGCTCAGCTTTAATAGGCACAGAGAATAGTTATGAACATAGAAGGCAAGGAAATATTCTAAGCCACGATTTTTATGATGGGATGTATGCATTTCAAAGTGCTAGGGGCTATTCAGTGAAATAACTGTATTTAAAGTCTTATAAAAGCTAGGGGCTATATTATGTATCGTAATTAAAGTCTATTAGAGTTAGGGGCTGTAGTGCCATTCAGTGAAATAAAGAGAACATAGCGTTTCAGTGCAGTATCAATTGCATATGGTATCAATTGTCTTACGATTAAGAGTTCATAACAGTAACAGTGTGCCGTGGGTGAGTCCATTAATTCATTACTACTGATGACGATACCTGGCAGTGCACAGGAGCACTATACACCCCACCCCACACTGAGGCACATGTGCACCCTTGAAGTGCAGAGGTATCGGTTTTCAGAACCATACTTGAAACACGTCCTTTAACAACCTCTTGTTGAGTTAGTCTCTTACCCTCCCTCCCTCCCTCCCTCCCTCTTTCAATCCTCTCTCTTCTCTTCTCTTCTTGCAGTCTGCAGCTTGCAAAGGAGTGTCTCAACTAAAGAACATTGCCTTCATGGGTACATTTGTCTGCAGCGGACACGGGAAGGTCAGTTCTATACAATGTTCATGATACAATCTTCACCCACACTGTTGTATTATGTGATGTAAGCATTATGTACTGTCCAGAGCTCCGCATCTTTTTTCTCTTGGCATCACATGGTCTATTGTTACATGGTGTGTTGGAGTAATGGTTTGGGATTGTTGGGTCTTTCTTCCTGACCAGAACTTTCCCACACCTTTTTCCTCACCTGCCGGAGAGGACAAGAAGAAAAGAGAGCAAGAAAAAAACCGCTAGCTCTCAAACACACACCCAACCATTACCCAGTCTGCCTTGTTACAACTCTGTACATGTACTGTATAGTGGATACATTCGCTTTCAAGACTTTAGACAATTGTGTTCCCAAATGTTTTTCGTTGGTGGGATAACCACGTGATAAAACCGAGGTGTGTTGGACTTGGTCTCCTGAACATACCCACACTGTATTTATCGAAGGAAGTAAAAACTGTTGCAATTCGGTTGCAAGTAAGGAAACGAGGTTGCTTGTTCTGCTGGACTCTGCTGTTGGGGTTCAGTGAGAAGCGAAACAGCGAGAGTTTTCTTCAAGTGTCCCATCCACCTCTCTCTCTCTCTCTCTCTCTCTCACACACACACACAATCCTCGTCCCCACCACCCAGGGGGTAGTAATAGGAGTTGGAGAGGACTCGGAGTTTGGGAGTGTATTTCGGATGATGCAAAACGAAGAGAGCCCAAAGACTCCGCTGCAAAAGAGCATGAGCACTCTCGGGAAGCAGCTGTCGTTCTACTCTCTCCTCATCATCGGATGCATCATGTTGCTGGGCTGGTTGCAGGGAAGACATCTCCTCGCCATGTTCACCATTGGAGTCAGGTATCTACATACGTAGGGAGAGTGCTTCATGCTCCGAAAAAAAGTTGAGAGAAATTTTTAAGTGAAATTAAACCCAGGTTGTATACTTCACCCCCTCCCTCCTCTCTCCTCCCTCCCTCCCTCCCTCCAGCCTGGCAGTGGCAGCCATTCCAGAGGGTCTGCCAATCGTGGTGACCGTCACTCTTGCTCTGGGGGTTATCAGAATGGCTGGGAGACATGCCATAGTCAAGAGACTACCCATCGTTGAAACCCTCGGTAACATCTCTGTAAAATCCTGCCTACACATAGTACAATAGTCTCTGTAAATTTGTTTTGCTTTGCTTAAGACTTAAAGACTCTTTAAACTTCTTTTTTTTTACACCTCGGTTACGATTCATGTGTACATGCGCACACGTGACACTCTGCTGCAGGTTGTGTGAATGTGGTGTGTTCCGACAAGACGGGGACGCTCACGGAGAACAAGATGGAGGTGACCCGGCTCTACACCGCGTCTCGTCAGAGAGCCAGTGTCGGTAAGACAGGGGCTGTCGATTGCGAGGGCTGCGTCGTCTCTCCCTCCTCTCACCCCGACATCGTCAAGATGATCGAGGTGGGTATATGTGTGTATTTTAGGACGCTATGGAAACTAAAAAATGAAATTAGTGGCAAAGTTTTGTGAGAAACAATGATGCAAAAATGAATCTAGTGGTGAATTTTTTTGCACGAGATAAGTCTGCAAAAGTTGCTCGAGTTGCTAAATTACTTTATATGTTGCCACATTTCCACCATCATAAATTATGTATGTTCATAAGCCAGATGTACGAATAGGAAAAGATGTTCCCTGTGACAAGATTGCGAGAACACAATAATTATTATAAGTTCCGTCGAAGCCTTCTGCTGAATATACTCTGAATATTTAACAGCAACAGTCTTGTCTCGTTGCTTTAAAATTCAAAGGAAATATGTGTAGCGTGTCACGAATAAGCGGGAGTTGCAATGATTATGGGATGGATATTATGGGTTGGGTGAATTCCAGAGAAGTTATAGCTCTGGCCATTGTCGGCCACCACCCACCTGTCTTTGAGCTTCCCCTGTACCTGCGCTGTAATGGATCGCTGGCAATCAAAACACTAATTCGTCGTAATTAGGGGGGTTGAGTCGATAATGGAAGCTAATTGGTGTTGATACTTACCCTGGCATGACATGTATGTTAGTTATGCAATGGCTCGGACATCATACTTGGCTGCCAGTGATTGTTATGAAGAAGGTGATCAAGTGGAGCTTATCAAAGCTGACTGTGATACAGATAAGAGTAGGCCAAACTCGTTGTGATATGTGAGATGACACCTTCTAGAATACACAGTGAGAGACACCCTCTCAATAGAGGACATCTCTCTATTCCTTCTGTCCCATACCAACCATGTACAAAGTGGCATGTTTGATGTCCCCAAGGTGTCCCTTATTTGGAGTTTTTTTTATTGCGTAATGTTGCACAACACCTGAATTAATGGTCGTGTCGTCTGTTGACTGCTACATACAGGTGGGGTGTGTCTGCAACAACGCCCAGTTGAGGGGGGGTCAGATAATCGGTCACCCCACGGAAGGGGCAATGCTGGCGTTGGCACACAAACTGAACCTGTTTGGCCTGCGTGACCAGTTTGTCAGGACGGAGGAGCGGACGTTTAGCTCCGAGAAGAAGTGGATGGGTGTCCTGGTCCGACCTCGATCTCATCAGGTCACAGAGGTGAGTTCCTCTCTTTCTTCTTCTTCCTCCCTTCAAACCAGCACAAAATTCATCCACATGCTGTGGAGCACAAAATTCATCCACATGCTGTGGCATTTAGTGTATGTGTCTGATTTTTCACTGGTTGATTGTGATTGTGGCCTAAGCCATCACACACCATTGTAGTAGGAAGACATTCTCTTTCTTCCTCCCTCCCTTCTCCCCCTCCCCCCTCCCCCCTCACACACACACACCTCCCCCAGCCGCCGTCCAAGAATGAAGACTGGTACATGAAGGGTGCACTGGACGTGGTGCTGCGTCACTGTACCACAATATCAGGAGGAGGCTTGCTGACTCCGTCTCTCCACGAACACTACATGTCTGTCGCCAGCGAATACGGCCACCAGGGACTCAGAGGTCGACTGACTAGTAATCTTCTAGTAATTTTCTAGTAAACCACCAGATTGCCTGTAGTACTAGTGTCTTCCAGCTAATATTCTTCTAGTAAACTGTGCTCCTAACTTTTATTTCTTCTACATTCTTGCCTCGGTGTCTTCAAAACTAGTAATCTTCTAGTAAACTTTTAGTCATCTTGCTTCCGAGGTGTCTTTAAAACTAGTGTTGTCCAAACTAGTAAACTTCTAGTAAACTATTGCCCTGTATTAATCTAAGCCTTCGATCCTGTTTGATACTTGCATGATGGTTCCAGTAATGTTTTTTTCCGCAGTGGTTGCCATGGCATACGGCCGTGACCTCAACGACCTCTCGTTTGCTGGACTAATGGCAATGTGGGACCCTCCGAGAGAGAACGTGTACGTCACCCTAGCCTCCCAAAACCTCTTCCCCTCTCTGACCCACTCCGACGTACATGTATCGCGCAGGTGAGAGATGCGATAGCCAACCTCCACTCCAGCGGTGTCAGTGTCAAGATGATTACTGGAGATGCGAAAGAAACGGGCGAGGCCATTGGTAAGAAAACACTCTCTGTAACCTGTTTTGTCGAAAGAACAACTTTTCCTCTCCCCAGCTCTCTGTTTATAGGATGACAACTTTCACTGATAATTAATCACTAGAAAATAAAATTTCCCAAATAAGTTGTATTTTTCATAGAATATATACATGTCCAATTGGGTGAAATAGCCTCAGCCTTAACAAGAATTCTCTGATTTCTAAAGTATGGGGCTTATATAATATGGGGCAGAACCAAGTGCCACTTATAGAGCCGTATCCTTTATTCGGAGGGTCCTTTTCACTGTATATAAAATTCTGTCTCTCCTCCCTCCAGCGGAGCAGCTGGGTCTGTGGAGTCCAGACAGTGTGTCTCTGTCGGGGGACGACCTTGAGACGCTGCCACCTCACCAGCTGACAGACTCCATCGCTCACTGCTCCCTCTTCTACCGCGTGACTCCCAAACATAAAGTCACCATTGTCAAGGTCTGAGTCCTACAATATTCTCTGCATATATACTCACACACACCTTTTCCTTTACTGTATAATTACCGCGTGTGTTGAACTTAACGGCTTGTCCTTTTCTTTAATCGATCTCTGTACATGTACCATGACCCCCTCCCTCTTGCCAGCATAAGGAGAAAGCTTAAACTTCTCTTTTGCCGTAATATTTCACACAACTTACATATGTACCATTTGGATAAGAGGCACCTACAATTTCGTAGTACTAACACCCTCTACGAGTTAAGCACAACAGAGATGTGTATACAGGGGAACCTCTGACAAGGGACCCTCCGAGATAGGGACGACCTCTCTACAAGGGACAAAATATCGTTGGCCCCAAGTGTCCCTTGTTCAGAGGACCTTAGTAAGACGAACACCCCACCCTTTATCCCTCACTCACTCCCTCTCCTTTCTCTGCTCCTACTCAGTCTCTCCAGTCCCTGGGTAAGATAGTGGCCATGACGGGGGACGGAACGAACGACGCAGTGGCTCTCAAGAGGGCCGACATTGGGGTTGCCATGGGGCGATCGGGGACCGACGTCTGCAGGGAGGCGGGAGACATGATTCTGACTGACGACAATTTCTCCACCATCACGTGAGACAATCATCACTCAAACACAATCTGCTGCTATATAGAGTTGCCCTGGTAGCTCAGTTGGTAGAGCGCTCGCCTAGACTGCAGAGTGTCGTGGGTTCGAATCCCACCTAGGGCAGCTCTTCTTTTTTCCAAAAGAGCTGTCCTGGGTGTAGTTGATTTGTTTGTTGTGCCTTTGCCTTTCTACCTCTTAGTTTTCACATACGTATTATAGTGCTAAACTGCTAAATTTTCATAGATGGAATTTTCACGTGTAGCGATTTTGGTTCCCAATGCTAAAGATCTTTGATTTTTGAAAATCATCAAGTCAAGACTTACACACATATGTACCTGCAGAATAACCCACTAACATTATGTATATACCTCAAAATTAACACTTTGTAAATGCATAAATCTGAGCGCTTCATTTTGCTATAGCACCAGCAAATGGAGAGAGTGTATGTATGTATGTATGTATGTATATACCAACTGCTGTTGATCTCTGCAGAGCTGCCATTGAAGAAGGAAAAATGATTTACTACAACATTCGCAACTTTGTCCGATTTCAACTCAGCACGTCAGTAACCCTCTCTCTCTCCCTCCTTACACGTGGTGTATGTACCTGCTCTAACTCCCTCTGCCCTCTTCTCCATAGGAGCATAGCAGCTCTAAGTCTCATAACACTCTCCACTATGATGGGACTTCCAAACCCACTCAATGCCATGCAGATTCTCTGGATCAACATCATCATGGATGGCCCTCCTGCACAGAGGTCAATATAATTATAGCAATGATGCTAGGAACCTCCGAATAATGGACACATTGGGACCAGGCATTTGTCCCTTATAGGAAGGTTTTCCTCTCTTTGGAGGTTACTAGAATGATAGAAAAGTGAACATTTCAGACGAAGTTCTACTTTAATGGTCTCTGTGTGTAAGCAAACGCTGCTCTTTTTTTGCGCCATTCCTTGCCAATAGAGCAAGGACATTGCAGGCTCACTGTAGAATTAAAAAAATGCAGGTCTCTAGACTCTGTCGTTGTAGGTCTTAGTTTACGATTTGAAAACTTTAACCCCACTCTGCCAGCCTGGGGGTGGAGCCGGTTGACGAGGACATAATGAAGAGACCTCCTCGAAAGGCCACGGACAGAATGGTCACCCTCCCTCTCCTGTTCCAAATAGTGACCACCTCACTCACCATTGTTGCTGGGACTCTATGGGTGTTCAGGAAAGAGGTCTCTTTTCTTCTCCTCTCTCCCTCTTAGTACATACTTTCTTCTCCTCTCTCCCTCTTAGTACATACTTTCTTCTCCTCTCTCCCTCTTAGTACATACTTTCTTCCCCTCTCTCCCTCTTAGTACATACTTTCTTCTCCTCTCTCCCTCTTAGTACATACTTTCTTCCCCTCTCTCCCTCTTAGTACATACTTTCTTCTTCTCTCTCCCTCTTAGTACATACTTTCTTCCCCTCTCTCCCTCTTAGTACATACTTTCTTCCCCTCTCTCCCTCTTAGTACATACTTTCTTCCCCTCTCTCCCTCTTAGTACATACTTTCTTCTCCTCTCTCCCTCTTAGTACATACTTTCTTCCCCTCTCTCCCTCTTAGTACATACTTTCTTCCCCTCTCTCCCTCTTAGTACATACTTTCTTCCCCTCTCTCCCTCTTAGTGCATACTTTCTTCTCCCTCTCTCCCTCTTAGTATATACACCTCTCTGTATCAATTCTTAGTAGCTGTGTCCCCTTTTCCATACAATCTCCACTTACTGAACCTCTGAATAGTGTGCAGTTTGGACCAGGCTGTTCATCGAGAGGCTGTCCTCTCTTTGTAGGTTCAAAATGTACCACAAGTGTGTACCTTCCTTCTTTATCCTTTCTATTGTACTTTTTCGACATGTCTTTATTCAGAGGTTCTACATAATAGTTGACTGTGGGTCTGTGAAATCTACGTGTAAAAGGATCCCTCGTCTATTTTCCATTTTCCCTCCTCTCCTGTACCTCTGTGTCTCTCTCCCGCCCTCTGCAGATGGAAGACAAGATGATCACTCCCAGGGACACAACCATGACCTTCACTTGCTTTGTCTTCTTCGACATGTTCAACGCCCTCTCCTGTCGCTCCATGGTACAGTCACATGATCCTGTTTCCTATATTGCCCCATACTGTCCATGGTACAGTCACATGACCCTGTTTCCTATATCAATACTGTCACATATCTGCTGACCATCACACCCATTAGGTGTGGAAATCCCATACACTGAGACCTATCAAAACTTCATGAAAGATGTCAACATGTAATAAAAGCAGCACAGCTAGAATCTTAGCCAAGTCCAATTCACTTTTTTACAGCTGACATGCGCACATGAATGCTGATTGTTTGTGCATTACCCGCAGAATGAAACACGCACTCAGATGCAGCTACTTCAATCCTCCTTTTAATCCATCTCTCTCTCCCTTCCCTCCCTCCAGAGCAAGTCTCTCTTCTCCATCGGTCTCTTCACCAACCGCATGTTCCTCTACGCCGTGGGGGGCTCCATCGTGGGTCAGCTACTGGTCATCTATTTCCCTCCTCTCCAAGCCGTCTTCCAGACAGAGGCACTGTCGGGAGGCGACCTTCTCTTTCTCGCAACTCTAGCCTCTTCCGTCCTCGTACTCGACGAGTTTAGAAAGATGTTTGTTCGTAGGTTTTTCAAGAAGACGAGACCCAGAGAGCATGGTTGTAGTGCTATGGATATTGTGTGTACTATCTGATGGCAATAATTATCATGTTACTATTCGACAATTATTATCACAACTTAAGCTAGGTTCATAATATGGCGCGTCCTGCCGAAGGTAGAAATGGAGTCTATCCTCGCGGTCGGCAACGCAGCACTGCGCGACGGGCCAATGGGACATATTATTGCGAAATCCCGATTAGAGGTTGCATTATCTTTCGTCCTTTTTGCTGGAAAAAAATGTGTGTTTCCCCGTTAGAATTTGACTTGAGATCACGCAAGTCCTGATATATACAGAGGAACAATATCTTGTGCCAGTATTAGTGGGTACAATATCAGAGGTTGTTGCTGATGAGTGTGTTACTATGGGAGTTAGTGATGTGTGCAGTTATTTCATTCTCTGTACGACCACGGCGTTGAGAAGTTTAGCGTCGGCCAAACTCTGACTCAAATCAGTCAACTCTCTGTTGGGGAACGTCGTCATCAACACATAGTGAGCCGACGACATTGCAGGCCGGGAGCTGAGGGGTTAAACGTCAAGGAATCACCATAGCAACCGGTGTAGTTTAACCCTCAGCACACTACAGACACTAATGGGTATGAACTCATTTATGTTGTGCGTTTGGGAGCATAATGTGCCACGTAGAAACATGGAAGGCCTGGGTTCCTAACTTCAGCTAGTTTAAGATTTAACCCCGAAACTCCTGGAATGGGTGAGGATACAGATTGATGAACTGGCGAATGTCATTGACGGTGTGTGAAGGGTTAAACTTGGCCACCAGTCGAGAGCCGTCCGAGAGACGAATCTGAATGGAGGTGGTGGGCTGGGCGGGGTCCAGGGGAACGGTGGGCGGGGGAGACAAGGAGGCGGAGGAGGAGGGCGTGGCAGTGGGCGTGGTCTCTGCCACCAGTGAGTGGGAGGCAAGATTCGGAGCAATACTGGAGAATAAGATATGGTTAAAAATTGACACTATATTCAGTACCAATGTCATCAGGGAAATGGAAAGTATATACACTGTAGACTAAAGTATAGCCAGGCAGAAAAATTTCTTTCTCTTTCGAAAGTTGGGTTGTGAATTGAACCAAAATCAGCACAGAGAAAAGAAGGAGGGGAAATAAGAGAGCATACCTTCCCAGCTTGTGTCCCTCTCCCGAGAATGCCACTAGTTTCGGAGCCCGTGCAACGTACTCGTCGTTTCTATTGTCCTCGATGTTGATGTCAACCTCCCCACCTCTGGCGGACCTTATCAGCTCCTGGGGCATCTCACTGCCAACAAGAGAAGGGAGGGAGGAGGAAGAACGGTCACTTTACATTTTGCACCTTATGAAGAGATCATTGCATCATTGTTGTATAGGGGAAGGGACAAATTCACCAATACAAAAACTGCACTGGAAGCAAAAAAATTTGGTGCAGGAAACTGCGCTGGGACCACAAAAAACTGCGCAGGAAGCAACAAAACTGCGCTGGAAGCAAAAACAATTGCGCAGGAAACAACAAAAACTGCGCTGGAAGCAGCTCCCCAAAACCCTAAAGTGCTCCTCACACACAAAATGTGATGGAAACTGACCCTTTAGAGACGGACTTGAGGAATATTTTGTCTTCGGGAGTGTCTCCTTTCCTGAGTGGTCCGTTGTCGACCGAGAACCCGTTTGACCAGAATGTCAGGGTATGGGTCACCTGCAGCAACAACACAATATAGCAGCTGTATACCCCAATCACTGCCACGTGATACATTGCTAGCCATAATGGCTATATATGTACAGCCAGGAGCTACTTAATGGAAAATTAACCAGGAGGAGTGATTTGACAAGAAGTGCTGTACATCTACTCATTTCGTAGCCATTAAATTACCATAATTCGTGGAGATAAAAAAGCAGGTAAAATCCCTCTTTCAAAAGGGTATTATATCATAGTTCCAACCTTTTCAGGGCCCCTGGCAGACGGTCCACTCTGGATCTGTTCACTGGGCTCCACTGTGTCCCCAAGTCTGAATCCTACCCCGCGAAACGCACTCGCCCTCTCTCTCACCTTCTCCTTCTCCTCCTCCTCCACATTTCTCGCTCCCTGGCTGTGGACCCACTCCAGATGTGATAATGGGAGGGGGGGGTCCACCATTTTACCTTTTGGCTGCGGCAAAGACGTCGCTCGCCAGCTCCTTGGCGTCAACCTTCTTTCTCGGAGGTCCTGATATCATCTGACCACTACAGCAATGGACACACACACAAACACAATAGTTGTGGTAGGTCTGTGGTTTGCTGCCCTGTCATAATTTCGTCTTGTCGAGTGTATTGTATAGAACCTCTGATAAAGGACACTGAAAAAAGGACAACTCTCCATAAAAGACACACTTTGAGATCCTACCGTTCACTGGCTCACTTAAATTACGAAAGATTTAGGCCACCCCCTGCTTCTGACAGTAGCCATTGTATACAGAGTCAAGGCTTTCGATAAGGTTGGTTGGCCTTTTCTTACCAAACACACGTGCAAACTTTTCAGAATACTGCTTACGGTTCCATTTCTATGTACTTTGTGCATTGAGAGGTAAACCTGTGTTCTGAGCCACCGGCAAAGAACTCCTGAGAGTCTCCTTCTTTCCCTTTCCCAGCGCGGCCTTCTTCCTCCTCTCTCTTTCTCCTCTGGTAGTCCGCCATGCTCGCTATCCTGCAAAGGAGAGGGAAGGCTCAGAGGTAGGGAGGAGTATAATAATATACAGAGTGCTGCAGGGATGCACTGGAACTTTGCATGCAAACGCGTGTGAAGAGGAGTGATTCACACTTTTTGGTGAACAATCCCCATACACACGTCTGAGAGATTGGAATTGGGGTGAGTGTGCGGTACCCAGTTCTCTTTTGGCTGGAGGAAGAGGCTGTGGCACAGGCGGGAGATCATCCGGGTCCTGAACGGCAGGGACCAACTCGTCTTGTCCAGGCCCCTGCCCCGTCTCTTCCACGGGCTCTCTCTCCCGCACTTCCGCGTTCTCGTGGCTGTCCTCGTCGAAGAACGTGTTGGTGGCCATCTAGAAGCGGGAAACGAGGCAAGGTATGATAGCGCGGGTGAGAATTTGGATTTCTCTCACGGCAAAGTCCCAGGCAGCTGCCTCAAGGTAGAAGCGAGCCCGCTCGGGTGTGGCGCCAGTGATGGTGGAGAACTGGGCGATGAGTGCTTCTCGGTGGGCGTCGGGACCCTGCGACATTCTCACTCTTGGTTCGCCTGCTTTCTTTTTCGCCGAGTGGGTAGAGGTCAAAGGGCACGGGTTACGCGATGTACCAAAAAGGGGGCGGGTCTCTATCCGCGCGAAGGGGGCGTATCGCGCAAGTTCATAGCTAGCTAGCCAGCTAGAAAGCTGTACGGGACTGCTATAGAGCTGGTTTAGGGAAGAAAGCGTTCAAGATGGCGGAGTTGGGCCAGCCGCAGCCCGCCGCCGCCGTCAAGACGAAGACGGCGAACATTCGGAAGCACCTGCGCAGGGACCAGGCCGCGGCGAGGAAGGCGCGCTCCTCGAGCATCGCCGCTATAGACTCGGCCAAGGAAAAACTGGTGAGTCAACCCTCACACGAGTACTGCTAGTCGCGGTGATACTACGCGCTTTCCCGAGCAGCAAAAGCAGAAAGAGGAGCGGGAAGGAAGGCGCGCGAGTCTGGACGGAAGACACCAATATCTGTGCGGGATGCTTGGCATGAAACTGACCATGGAAGAGAGCGAGGTGGAAGAGTTCTTCCTGGACGGAGATCAGGTCTGTTACTTTGTTTTTCAACCACGTCCGAAGAGTGAGATACGCCCACTTTTTGTTGTCACCTACAGTTGAAGAAAATCGACACATTTTTCGCTCCAAGCGGACCGAAGTGCCTACTTTTCTACTACGAAGAGCACGTTACAACTAATTCTGACGGTATATAGCTACATGTCTAAGTATCTTTCCCTGACCTGCTATGTTATACTTACGTACGCAGGCAAGCAGGGAAAGCCGGTCAAAAAACTGTATGTAACGGACGGAACGAAGGAGAAGTTCCCGGGCCTCGGCCTGTTTTTCCTCCGCATCACCACCAAGCCCATCACGGTCGCCAACATCGCGCAAGAGCTCTACTTCGGCGCTCTGGAGGGAGACGATCTACTGGAGGCGCTCGAGCGGCTCATCGCGCAGGTCTTCCTCCCCGCGCTGAAGCAGCAGACGAACTGGGGGGCGCTGTCGAACGACGCCAACGGTCACATACTGAAGGAAAACTTTCTGGGGAAACTCGCTGGATTCGTCTCCATCTTGTCCAACGCCCGTGCCAGCATCGCCGACGCCGTAGAGCTTTCCCCGTGCACCCACTCGGGACTAGCCGCGGTATCTTCTCCCGCGGACATTGTTGCCGCAGCGGGTAGCACGGAGATGGTGGAGGCTGCCGAGACGACGGCTCTGCAGTGGTGCAAGGAGATCACGCAGATTCTCACCAAGTCGGAGCAGATGCGGAAGGAAGCGGACACCGTCGGTCCGGGTGCAGAGCTGGAGCACTGGAAAAAGCGAATGGCAAAGTTCGACTCGCTCACGTTCTGCGTCAAGAGCCCGCAATGCAGAGCCATCATCAATGTTCTGGTGGCTGCAAAGTCAAAAGTCCTCCAGGTATACAGCTAGCTATCTATCATTTTGCATAGCTAATGGTGTAATTTTTGGTTTTTTTTCAATACACAGTCCTGGAAGGAGCTGGATATGACCATCACCGACTTCACCAACGAAACAAAAGACAACGTCAAGTTTTTGCATACCCTGGAAAAATACTGCGAGCCGCTGTACAAATGCAATCCGGTAAGCATCATTTTATAGCTACATCGTGAGGAGAAAGCATGGTGTTGTGGATTTCTGCAGGTGACCATGCTAGACAGTATTCCAGGCCTGATGAACGCCATCCGAATGATCAACAGCTATTCTCGCTACTACAACACTTCCGAGAGAATGACAGCGCTCTTCCTGAAGGTCACCAACCAGATGATCACGGCGTGCCGAGCCCACATCACCGACAGTGGTTACAGCAAGCTCTGGGACCTGGAGAGAGATGTGGCCCTCGAGCGACTCGGCGACTGCCAAAACCTCAACAATGAGTACCAGCTATGCTTCCAGAGAACCAAGGAGAAGCTGAAGGGTCACCCGGAGGAAAGGCCGTTTGACTTCTCTGAGATGTACATTTTCGGAAAATTCAACAACTTCTGCAGGAGGTGTGTTGCCTTCACACATATTTACAACAATCAATGTCTGCCAGTTGCAGTATTCACGACCATAAATCCTAGTCCATACATCTCCTTGTTGTTGTGTGCTTCTGGCCCACCTCCCACTGCATTCACCCCCAACACAGGCTTGACAACATCACAGCGTTTCTGAAGACTGTTGCCACATACGAGACCCTCGGCCTGTCTCGCATCGAGGGAATTGAGACGTTCAATGCCAGATTTGGGCTGATAGTGTCAACACTCAAGAAGAAGCCCTATGATCCCTTGGAACATCGCAAGCCTGACTTTGACGTGGACTATCAGGAGTTCAAACTCCAACTAGCTGACCTTGAGGTGAGAATATACGGAGCCTAAAACTGAAGGTGCAGCTAATAGTACTATCGATATTATTTTGCTGTTGGATGATGCACGAAGTTGTAATGTATGAAGTTTTGCAGCCAGCATTATTTTTCAAACCTCAGGTTCAAATTCAGGTATTCATGGACAACTTTTTCGAAAGTGCCAAGACCGTAATGAGGGGAATCGAGTTCACACAACGGTTCGAGCGACTGCGACTTCCCTGCCTCAAAATACTGGAGAAGTGGAGGTTCTGTGTCACGCTGTTTGTTAAGGACATTGACTTCATCCAGAAGCAGTACAACGAGCAGAAAGACAAACCTCCAATCGCCCGAAACATGCCTCCAATTGCCGGCCGCATCGCTTGGAGTCAGCAGCTGTACCGACGCCTCAAGGAGCCTGTGGACATCTTCCGAGCTCAGCCAGAGCTGATTGCACTCGCCGAGACACGCAGGGCCATAAAGGCTTACAATCGCATCGCCAAGGCCCTGGTGGAGTACGAAGTGGTGTTTCTACAGGTGTGGAAACGACAGGTGGACGAAGCTAGAGGGATGCTCAACTGCACCATCTTAGTCCGAGATCCCGACTCACTCCGTCTGATGGTGAACATGGACAAGAAGGTTTTCGAGATGATCAGGGAAGTCGGGGTACTCCGTACGATGGGGTTCGAAATCCCTCTCGCTGCCCGCAACTTTGCATCACTAGAAGGCTCCCTAAAGTCTAAATTTGACGGAATCACAGTGAGCAATAAAGTCCATAGGTTTTTTAAATGAGTGTTGTTTCCAATTGCTGTGTAGTTTATGGTCGAAGAGAACGACAGGATTCGCAGCAAGATTTCCGAGATCTCGCCCACCGAGCTCTTCTCGCCACTGATGGAGCCACATCTGGAGAAGGTGGACGAGGTCATATCTCCCGGTCTTACGGTGCTCCGTTGGACCTCACTCAACATCGACTCCTTCCTCAAGTCGGTGGAGGAGAACCTCAAGGAACTGGAACTTCTGGTCGAGCGAGTTTCAAACACGTATGAGTTCCAGATTCAGGGAGTTCTGACGGAGATAAGAAACATGGAGCTGTGTGCGCTGCCTGATAGCGAGCCTTGGACCGTCGACGAGTTTGTAAACAGTACACAGGTATGGAGAAAGCAAGGGATGCATCTGTGCTATAGAAAGATCATTAACATGCTCTTTTATACTGTACATCTACAGAAAACTTGTAAAGCAGCAGCAGTTAGGCTGGACACAATGACTATGAAGGTGGAGAGGGCTGCGCACGACTTAGTCAACATCCTCATCTCTTCACTGGATGTGGAGGTAGCCCTTGAGTCTGCCGCTGGCTCTGGAAGGGCTACTCCTGCCACAATGATTACTCTCCCAAAGAAAGAAGACATTGCTGAATTGGACCTCAAGCCAGGTATGTGTAAATAAGAATCGTATAGTTCTGGGATTGAATCAATGTGTCCTATTTACAGGTGAGCTAACAAAGATGAGAGAGGCAAAAAAGACGGTAGACCTACGAAACGACGCTTTGAATCTGTTCGACCACTTTGAGCATGCAAACCTCGATGCACTCATTAAGCTCACGCGCAACACCCTAGAGGGCATCCGGCGTCGCGTCACGCCACCATCCAGTCTCCTATACGGTGATGCCTCGGTTCAGAGGAAGCAGGACCACCGGCCGGCCTTCAAAGTGCACCTTGCACTTGCCATCCCCAATGTGATGCTCAAGCCTCGCCTGGAAGACATACAAGCCTCCCTCAACACGACGGTACAGCTCATCCTCAGCGTGTACAAGACAGTGTACCAATGGGGCCAACCAAGGGAGCTTCCAGGAACACCTCTCGGAGGTGGATCCCAAGGGGCAAGCTCAACCCACTTGTCTGCGGTCCCCAACCAGTTGGCTTCGATGTCGGTAGTCATGCAAGCCTCTCGCTCTCAACTCACCGCCGAGGCCCAAAAGAGGCACCTGGCAGAGCTCAAAAACTTCTTCCACGAAGTTTCCCAGCACAAGGAGGTGGCGAAACTGACCTCAGTTCTCTCGACTACTTTCAGTTCCGCCAAGATTCTGGTGGAGCAGGCTCTCAAGTACTTTGAGCCCTACCAGCACCTCTGGATGGAAGAGAAAGAGGAGAGCATTGCAAAATTCCTCGAATCCAAGCCACTGATCATCTCAGACTTTGAGGCTCGAATCAAAGGCTACGAACAGATGGAATCGCTCGTCAAAGAAGGAGTGGATGAGCTACCGGTCGGCACACTTGTGCTAGTAACAGGTTCATTCTTGTGTTGCATATAATTATGCCAATTTTTTACTTTTTTCATCTTTTGTTCCAGAGGACCTGAAGATAGCCATGGCAGCCGAGGCTAACGCCTGGAAGGTGCTGTATGGACGCAAGATGAACACAGAGTACCTCACGCTCATGGATAACGTCATGGAGCAGATTGAAGACCTCTCCAGAAGGCTATCACGGCCCATAAAGGACCTGGACGATGTCCGACAGGCCATGGCCACACTGAAAGAGACCCGCGAGAAGGAGATCTACATTGATTCTTGCCTTGGACCAGTCGAAGTAAGCATGAACCCACTATAGTGGCGTACAAACTCCATAAATTTGTACGTGTCTCACTCAGGAGTCGTATAGTCTACTGGCAAAGTTTGGAATCCAAGTGGCGAGAGAAGAAGCAGACAAAGTTGACACGTTTCGTTACTCTTGGCAGAAACTGCTAACACTGTCGGTAAGTCTGCTGAGATAGATTAGTGGGCGAAACAATCAGCTTGTTCACAAATTTGCAGAAAGAATCACAGACAGAGTTGATCAAAATCCAGCCCCAGTTCGAAGAAACGCTCGTCACAAACGTCGAAGTGTTTCAGAAAGATACCACGCAGTTCTATGACGAGTATGATACGGTATGGTGTGCACACGGTCTTACCTTGATTACACGTTTACAGCAGTACTATTAATTTTATATCTACACCATAGCAAGGTCCAATGGTTCAAGGGCTTGCACCGCGAGACGCCAGTGACAGACTCTACATCTACCAGACCCGATTTGACGACCTCTGGCGGAGGTTCCAGATCTACACCGACGGAGAGGAACTCTTCGGAATGCCCGTCAGCAACTACCCCGACCTGGGACGAATCAAGAAGGAGCTCAATCTGCTGCAGAAGCTCTACGGTCTCTATAACTCAGTCATGGACAGCATCGATGGCTACTACGATATTCTATGGGCAGAGGTCGACATTGATAAGATCAACAATGAACTAATCGACTTTCAGAACAAGTGAGAAAGTGTCAAACTCGTGGCGTAAAGCTAGTGAGTTAAGTTTATCTCTCCAGATGTCGCAAGCTTCCCAAGGCTCTAAAGGAGTGGGAAGCCTTCAACGATCTGAAGAAGAAGATCGACGATTTCAACGAGACGTGTCCGCTGCTGGAGATGATGGCAAACAAGGCCATGCTGGAGAGGCACTGGAAGAGAATGGCGGAAGTGACTGGTCACGGCTTCGATACCGAGTCTGAGTCTTTCCAACTTAGAAACATTATGGAGGCACCACTGCTAAAGTTCAGGGAAGATATTGAGGTTTGTTCCATAGAGCATCAAAGATGCACGTGAGAGCATAAACTCATGAAGCATAAGATTATGCATTCATAAACCATGAGCATTTGTCATCTACACTGTAGGATATCTGCATCAGTGCCGTGAAGGAAAGGGATATCGATGCTAAACTGAAGCAGGTCAAGGCAGACTGGGCCGTGCAAAACTTTGCCTTTGCACCGTTCAAGACTCGCGGGGAGCTGCTACTGAGGGGAGAGGAGACCCAGGAAATCATCTCTCTCATGGAAGACTCGCTCATGGTGCTCGGATCTCTCATGTCCAACAGGTCTGTGATCATTGCAGATATGGTAAACAGTAGTCTGACGTCCATTGTGATTTGGTATACAGGTACAATGCTCCGTTCAAGAAAGAAATCCAGTTGTGGGTGCAGAAGCTGTCCAATTCAACGGAGATAATTGAGAGCTGGCTCATAGTGCAGAACCTGTGGGTCTACCTCGAAGCTGTGTTTGTTGGTGGTGACATTGCCAAACAGCTACCAATGGTACCACCTTCACCACTCTATGCTCATACATAGCAGTTATCTCGATTCTTCTCCAATGCAGGAAGCCAAGAGGTTTGGCAACATTGACAAGTCATGGGTAAAGATTCTGACCAAGGCCCACGAGACTCCCAATGTAGTCACGTGCTGCGTGGGGGACGAGACACTGGGTCAGCTCCTTCCCCACCTCCTTGAGCAGCTGGAGCTCTGCCAGAAGTCGCTCACTGGCTACCTGGAGAAGAAGAGACTCGTCTTCCCTCGGTTCTTCTTCGTGTCGGACCCAGCCCTGCTCGAAATTCTGGGACAGGCATCCGACTCCCACACAATCCAGGCTCATCTTCTGAGTGTCTTCGACAACATCAAGTCTGTCACTTTCCACTGAGAAGGATACGATCGAATCACACACATCCACTCAAGAGAACCTGAAACTATTGAGGTAAGTATAATGCATACTTAATACACTTCACTCTATGTCACTGCTGTGGTTAACTTTTGTATAGCTGGATAAGGCAGTGATGACAACGGGAAACGTGGAACACTGGCTGGGCGCACTTCTAAAGCAGGCTCTGCACTCTGTGCATGTGGTCATAAAGAATGCCTACACGGCAATCTCTGACCCCAACATAGAGCTGATTGAATTCCTCAATTCATATCCTGCTCAGGTAAACACTGAGAGGGGCATAAAACTATCAAATATACCGACTGCAATGAGCGGAAGGTAATTTGTTTAACCTCTCTCTATCAATTAAGGTGGGTATCTTGGGGATCCAGTTCATTTGGACCAGGGATGCCGAGATTGCACTGGCCAATGCTCGACAGGACAAGAAGATAATGGGTAAAGTGGACCAGAAGTTTCTGGGAGATGCTGAACGAGCTCATCGAGTGACGACGCAGAACCTCTCGAAGATCAACCGGCGGAAGTTTGAAACCCTCATCACCATCCATCTGCATCAACGTGACATCTTCCACGACCTGGTATGCCGTGACTTTATTCTGATCCACCAGGATCTGCGCAGGCTTGTGCCTACTCAGCTACCCTGGAATATAGATCAGTAGAAAATAGTGTTCCTCCGAGAGAATACGGTGTCCTGAGTTTGAGTGTCGTATGATATGCATTGTCTTCATACACAATTGCTTCAACTTCAGGTGTTGCTCAAGATAAAGTCTCCGGTCGACTTTGAGTGGCTGAAGCAGAGCAGATTCTACTTCAATGAGGAGACCGACAGGACAAAGATCTCCATCACCGACGTCGACTTCATCTACCAGAACGAGTTCCTCGGTTGCACGGAGCGACTCGTGATCACTCCCCTCACCGATCGCTGCTACATCACCCTGGCACAGGCTCTGGGGTTCAGCATGGGAGGAGCTCCAGCCGGTCCAGCAGGCACAGGGAAAACTGAAACCGTGAAGGACATGGGGCGGGCGCTGGGCAAGTACGTCGTGGTGTTCAACTGCTCGGATCAAATGGACTTTCGGGGTCTGGGGAGGATCTACAAGGGGCTGGCACAGTCGGGGAGTTGGGGGTGCTTCGACGAGTTCAACCGGATCGAGCTACCGGTTCTGTCAGTGGCTGCACAGCAGATTGCCATCGTCCTCATGTGCAAGAAGGAGAGAAAGTCGTCGTTCATATTCACAGACGGCGACACGGTAACAATGAATCCCGAGTTTGGGCTCTTTCTGACAATGGTAAGCTACTCCCTCGACTTGCACCTTTTAAACTATTCTCTGTGGTTCCTGCAGAATCCTGGGTATGCTGGACGCCAGGAGCTACCTGAAAACCTGAAGATGAACTTCAGACCCATCGCCATGATGGTGCCAGATCGTAAGATCATCATCCGTGTCAAACTGGCCAGTTGCGGTTTCCTTGAGAACATACCACTCTCCGAAAAGTTTTACACACTCTACAAACTGTGCGAGGACCAGCTCTCAAAACAGGTGTGCAGGGCCACTTCTTTCTCTGCTTGTTCTGTATGTTGTTTATTACCCATAATTCTGCCCCCTTTTCAGGTTCACTATGACTTTGGTCTGCGCAACATCCTCTCTGTTCTGCGAACGCTCGGAGCGGCAAAGAGGGATAATCCGGATGACAGTGAGAAGACCATTGTCATGCGAGGCCTGCGAGACATGAACCTCTCCAAACTGGTCGACGAAGACGAGCCCCTGTTCATGAGTCTCATCAACGATCTCTTCCCTGGGATCAACATAGCCAAGGCGGTCTACCCGGACCTGGAGGCAGCCATTGATCAAGAGGTAAAGGCGGCAGGTCTCATCAACCACCAGTTGTGGACACTGAAGCTGATCCAGCTGTACGAGACACAGTCCGTGAGGCACGGCTTCATGGTGCTCGGCCCAACCGGCACCGGGAAAACCAAGTGCATCAACATCCTCATGAAGGCCATGACTGACATCGGTGTCAGTCACAGAGAGATGAGAATGAACCCAAAGGCTATCACGGCTCCACAGATGTTTGGTCGGCTTGATGTCGCCACAAATGACTGGACCGACGGCATCTTCTCCACAATGTGGAGGAGAACACACAAGGTGAAGAAAGGTGAGCATATCTGGCTTGTTCTGGACGGTCCAGTGGATACCATCTGGATCGAGAACTTGAACAGCGTCTTGGACGACAACAAAACCCTCACCCTTGCCAACGGCGACAGAATTCCCATGGCACCGGACTGCAAAATTGTATTCGAACCTGACAATGTTGACAACGCGTCTCCGGCCACCGTTTCCCGGAACGGAATGGTGTACATGAGCTCATCTGGACTGGACTGGAGGCCCATCATGCAGGGCTGGCTCCTACACATGCTGGCCGAAAAGAAACTCACCCAGCAAGAAGCTGACATACTCCTCGACCTATTCGACGGCTCCTTCCTGAAAATATACCAATTCTCCACCATCAGTTGCGAGGCAAAGATGAGACTTCTCGAATGCAACTATGTCGCTCAGGCCTGCAACGTCCTGGAGGGCCTGATTCCACAAAAGGAGAAAGACGACACCCTATCTCTTCAAAGACCGCATTTGGAGAAGCTGTACATTTTCGCCGTCATGTGGAGCGTTGGAGCGATTTTGGAGCTGGGCGACAGGGCCAAGATGGAGACGTTCATGAGAGAGAACACGGAGCTAGCCCTTCCAGCCTGCGAGGGCGGCAGTGGCGACACAATCTTTGAGTTCTTCGCCAACAAAGATGGCGAGTGGGAGCACTGGAAGACGCGAGTCGAGGAGTATGTGTATCCCAAGGACAGCATTCCTCCCTATTCCTCCATTCTGGTTCCAAACGTGGACAACGTTCGTACTGACTTCCTCATCGACACCCTGGCCAAACAGAGTAAGGGTGTTCTTCTGATTGGGGAGCAGGGAACGGCCAAAACAGTCATCACTCAGGGCTACATGTCGAGATACGATGTGGAAGAACACCTCAGCAAAAGTCTCAGTTTCTCTTCAGCTACAACTCCCGGGCACTTCCAGAGGGCCGTTGAGAGCTACATCGACAAGAGGATTGGAACCACGTACGGTCCGCCAGCAGGTAAGAAACTGACGTGCTTCGTCGACGATGTCAACATGCCCGTCATCAACGAATGGGGAGACCAGATCACCAACGAAATTGTTCGACAAGTGATGGAGATGAGTGGGTTCTACAGTCTCGATAAACCAGGTGACTTCACCCACATCCAAGATGTGCAGTACATAGCTGCCATGATCCATCCTGGAGGAGGGCGAAACGACATCCCCTCGCGACTCAAGAGGCAATTCTGCATTTTCAACTGCACCCTCCCTTCAAATGCCTCGATCGACAAAATCTTTGGGCTCATTGGTTCCGGTTACTTCTGCAGGGAGCGCAAATTCCCCCAAGAGGTCGTGGACATGATCCCTAAGCTAGTTGTCAGCACCAGACACCTCTGGCAGGCAACCAAGGTAAAGATGCTGCCAACCCCCGCAAAGTTTCACTACATATTCAATCTTCGCGACCTCTCGCGTATCTGGGAAGGGATGCTGCACGTCGACAGTGACACTGTCACAACTGTACCGACACTCCTCGGACTCTGGAAGCACGAATGCACGCGGGTGATTGCCGACCGGTTCACAAGCGCCGGAGATAAGGAATGGTTCGAAAAGTGCACGTTCCAATCAATTTCTGAGACGATCGATCCAGAAACAAGCGCAATCGTCCCTAAAGAGCCATACTTTGTTGACTTTCTCAGGTACATTATACAATCCTATAAAGCTGTATCAATCCCTACTAATTCTGACACTATTCCTAACAGGGACCCTCCAGAACCTACTGGTGACGAGCCAGAAGACTTTGAGTATGAAGCTCCAAAGATATATGAGCCTGTAAGGAATAGTATATATACACAGCTGTGCATTCTTCATTCATAATGGTTGCGATCCTGTGCTAGATACCGGGCTACCCTGAAATGGAGGAGCGTCTGCTAAACTTCACTCAGCACTACAACGAGACAGTGAGGGGCTCGGGAATGGATCTCGTGTTTTTCAAAGACGCAATGGTTCATCTCTTCAAGATCTCGCGCATCATTCGCACGGACAGGGGCAACGCAATGTTGGTTGGCGTGGGTGGTTCGGGGAAACAGAGTCTTACCCGCCTCGCCTCGTTCATCGCCGGGTACAAGTCCTTCCAGATACAGCTGTCGAGGTCCTACAGCGCCAATAACCTACTGGAAGACCTGAAGATCCTCTATCGCGTGGCCGGAGTGCAGGGCAAGGGAGTCTCATTCATCTTTACAGATAACGAGATCAAAGACGAGGGGTTCTTGGAGTATATCAACAACGTCCTTTCGTCCGGTGAAGTATCGAATCTCTTTGGCAGGGACGAGATCGACGAAATTAACAGTGAGTTGATCCCCATCATGAAAAAGGAGTTCCCGAGAAGACCACCAACTCCGGAAAACCTGTATGATTATTTCCTTTCGCGGTCAAGAAACAACCTCCATGTGGTCCTGTGTTTCTCTCCAGTAAGCACACTAGCATTTACCCCTCCAGCTTTATTGATACTGACGCTCTTCTGTTTTTCTTAACCATTTTTCAGATTGGTGAGAAGTTTCGCAGTCGATCTCTCAAGTTTCCCGGCCTCTTCAGCGGCTGTACAATGGACTGGTTCAGTCGCTGGCCGAAAGATGCCCTCATCGCTGTTGCCAAGCACTTTGTGGGGAAATTTGACGTCGTATGCACGGAAGAGGTAAAGCAGGAAGTGGTGGCTACAATGGGTATCGTACAAGACCTGGTGGCAGAGTCGTGCACTGCTTACTTTGAGCGGTATCGTCGATCAACCCATGTCACGCCGAAATCCTATCTCTCATTCCTAAACGGGTATAAAGTGATCTATAACGAGCAGAAGAGCTACCTGGACAAGCAGGCACAGAGAATGGATACAGGTCTGGACAAGCTCTTGGAGGCCAGTGAGTCCGTGGCTGAGCTCAGTAAAGAATTGGTAGTAAAGGAGAAAGAACTGGCTGTGGCGTCCAAAGAGGCTGAAAAGGTACTCGAGGAAGTGACGGTGAAAGCTGGAGCAGCAGAGAAGGTAAAGGCTGAAGTTCAGAAGGTTAAAGACAGAGCTCAAGGAGTGGCTGACGTGATTTCTGCCGATAAACAAGTCGCCGAGGCAAAGCTTGAGAAAGCTCGACCGGCACTCGAACAGGCTGAAGCTGCACTACAAACCATCAAAGCATCCGATATTGCGACAGTACGAAAGCTGGGGAAACCGCCCCACCTCATCATGCGAATCATGGACTGCGTACTACTGCTGTTCCAGAAGAAGCTTAATACAATGGCAATGGATGCAGAGAGGCCCGGACCTGCCCCGTCGTGGTCCGAATCCCTCAAGATGATGAGCCAGACCGGCTTCCTGCAGGCCTTGCAGAACTTCCCCAAAGACAGTATAAATGACGAGACCGTAGAACTGATGCAACCGTACTTTGTCATGGAAGACTACAACCTTGAAACAGCCAAGAAAGTGTGTGGAAATGTGGCAGGCCTGTGCTCGTGGACTGCAGCAATGGGATCTTTCTTCGCAGTGAACAAAGAGGTCTTGCCACTAAAAGCCAACCTGGCAATTCAAGAGGTCCGATTCCAGACGGCTTCTGAGGAGCTAGCTGGAGCCAATGCCCAGTTGAAAGCAAAGGAGGAGGAGGTGGCAGTCGTCCAGGCCATGTACGACGAGGCAATGAGAAAGAAACAGACTCTGGTGGAGGACGCAGAGACCTGTCGGAGGAAAATGAAGGCAGCTCGGCTCTCATTGAGGGGCTCAGCGGGGAGAAAGTGAGATGGACTGCCCAGAGCAAAGAGTTCAAAGCTCAAGTTTCACGGTATATTATATTTTGTGCAGTTTCAAAAGGAATTATTATTAACCCTCGGCGCGCATGCGCAGCGAGGGTTACGGTAGTTGGGTTTGTCTGTCTGTCTGTCTGTCTGTGTGTGTGTGTCTGCTGTTACTCGTCATCCACTTCTCGAGTGTTCGTTCGTCTCACAAAGGATACCACCTACTGAACGGGCAATGAACGTCACAATGCGCCGAGGGTTTGCACTTCAGTGCTTTTCATTCGTTTCTGTAACTCAGGCTCGTTGGTGACGTCCTGCTGTCATCTGGGTTTCTCTCGTACTGCGGCCCCTTCAACCAGGACTTCAGGACACAGCTCCTGAACGAATGGAAGAAGGAGATGTCAAATAGGAAAATTCCATTCACCCAGAAACTCAACCTCCTCGACATGCTGACAGATGCAACCACAATAGGAGAGTGGAACCTGCAAGGCTTGCCCAACGACGAGCTGTCCACACAAAATGGCATCATAGTAACCAAAGCCACCCGCTTTCCACTTCTGATCGACCCTCAAGTGAGAAACTATTCATATACCACGTGTTGTGTAGCTAACACTTGAAGTTTAGTATTCGAGACAATGTAGGAAACCGGCACTTCAGGTGTTGCCTTCATCCCACAGGGCCAGGCAAAGACCTGGATCATGAACAAGGAGGCCGAGCGGCAGATGCATGTCACCAACCTCAACAACAAGTTCTTCCGTTCGCACCTGGAGGACTGTCTCTCCCTCGGGAACCCACTTCTCATAGAAGACGTGGAGGAGGACCTGGATCCGTGTCTGGATAACGTCCTCGAGAAGAACTTCATCAAATCTGGAACAGCTTTCAAAGTGGGTTCTTGTACTAGACACGATGGTGCACGAAACACTCGCATTTCTTTTTGGCCCACAGGTCAAAGTTGGAGATAAGGAAGTTGACGTGATGAAGGGGTTTGTCCTATACATCACTACAAAACTGCCAAATCCATCTTACACACCTGAGGTTAGCAACTGCAGTGCCATTTTCAACATCAGTCACTGAAGCAGAGCATTGGCAATTCTTATGTATAAATCACTGTACTACCTTTTCCCTGACCTACTATCTCAGGTGTATGCCCGTACGTCTATCATTGATTTCACCGTGACAATGAGAGGTCTGGAGGAGCAGCTGCTCGGCCGGGCCATCCTCACAGAGCGGCAAGAGCTTGAGTCCGAGAGAGTGAAGCTGATGGAGGAAGTCACGGCCAACCAGAAGAAGATGAAAGAGCTGGAAGACACCCTTCTCTACAGACTGACCACGACAAAGGGGTCACTGGTGGATGATGAATCACTCATCGAGGTGAGCTTTTTCTTGTCCCGCATCCTTCACATGGCGAAAAATTTTCTGTCGCAGATGTTGCAAACAACCAAGAAAACAGCAGAGGAGGTGAGCCAAAACCTGAAAGTAGCCGCTGAGACAGAAACGAAGATCAACTTGGCCCGCGAAGAGTACCGTCCTGTTGCTTCCAGAGGATCCGTCCTCTACTTTCTCATCGTGGAATTGTCGATGGTGAACGTCATGTACCAGACGTCCCTCCAGCAGTTCCTGGGAATCTTTGACCTCTCCATGGCACACTCGGCCAAGTCCCCCGTCACAGTCAAGAGGATCAACAACATCATCCAGTATCTCACCTTTGAGGCTTTCCGATACACAATCCGAGGTCTGTACGAGGAGCACAAGTTCCTTTACACGCTTCTACTGGCCCTCAAGATCGACATGCAGAAGGGCCACGTGAAGCATCACGAGTTTCAGACGCTCATCAAGGGAGGAGCTGCACTGGACTTGAATGCGTGCTCGCCGAAACCGGCAAAGTGGATCACCGACATGACGTGGCTCAACATTGTCGAGCTCTCAAACCTGCCACAGTTTTCCGAGCTGCAAAACCAGGTGCAGTAGCATCAATGTTGCACCCACCATAACCAGTCAGTCTGTGTTACATATCCACAATAGGTCAGTCGAAACGACAAGAGTTGGAAGGCATGGTTTGACACAGAAGCTCCAGAGGAAAACCCAATTCCTGATGGCTACAATGCCCTGGACACGTTTCGTAAACTTCTGCTCATTCGGTAAATTACTATCCACCCATTCTCCATGGTCAGTTCGGATTATGATAAATTCCTCCAGGTCTTGGTGTCCAGACCGTGTGCTTCCCCAGGCCCGCAGGTACACTGCAGAGTCACTGGGCGTCAAATTTGCTGAGGGAGTGATCCTGAACCTGGAGGAAATGTGGAAGGAGTCGACCCCACGAGTCCCCATGGTTTGCTTCCTCTCCATGGGCTCTGACCCAACCAACAGCATCGACACGCTGGCCAGGAAACATGATTTGAGTGAGAGATTACCCTTCTGTGGTTTTTTTTATATAAGCACGTTAACTACTCTTTTATACAGCATTTGGGTCGGTGTCTATGGGGCAAGGCCAGGAGGTGCATGCAAAGACGACTGATAAACCAGTGCCACGCACAGGTATGATACAAGTTGCCCTTGAGTATAGTGCTGTCTGTGTGATGAGGACAACTCAAATGCAGGGAGGCTGGGCAATGCTACAAAACACTCACTTGGGTCTGGATTTCCTGGTCGAACTCCTGACCACGGTCCACGATACGGAGAACGTCCACGAGAGCTTCCGCCTGTGGCTGACGACTGAGGTCCACCTAAAATACCCCATAAACCTCCTGCAGGCCTCCATCAAGTACAGTTTCGAGCCACCGCAGGGAGTCAAGGCCGGACTCAAGCGTACTTTCACCGACATATCGCAAGAGGAGCTCGAATACTCCAACTTGCCCCAGTGGAAACCTCTGCTGTACACGGTGGCCTTTCTGCACACGACAGTCCAGGAGAGGCGAAAGTTTGGGCCCCTGGGTTGGAATATACCCTATGAATACAACCAGGGAGACTTGAACGCTTCCAAGCAGTACGTCATGAACATGCTGGACGACCTGGACCTCAAAATTGTAAGTTGACTGCTGTTGGGAACTATCTCGGTTTTCAACAGTAAGTTTTCTTGGATCTTGCAGGGGATATCGTGGGGAGCGGTGCAGTACATGATCGGGGAGATCCAGTACGGTGGCCGTGTGACTGACGACTATGACAAGAGACTACTGAACACCTATGCCAGGGTAAAGAAAAAGGTGTTTTTGGAATTTTGAGAGAATTGGCCTTTGTTTGTGTTGTAGCTCTGGTTCAATGAAGGGATGTTCAAGCCCACATTCCAGTTCTATAAGGGATATGGCATACCAGTCTTCAAGGTTGTCAAGGAATACATCGACTACATTGAGAAATTGCCTTTGGCCGATACTCCAGAGATATTTGGAATGCACCCAAATGCAGATATCACGTACGCACATTCTGTTGCGCACACACCCATACTATTGGCCACTTTGCACTAAAACAAGCTACTAATGTAGGGCGTACAGTGGAGCCCCTCCAAGTAGCCCCCTGAAACGAGGACACCACTCCAATAGGGACACTTTTCATTCTCTAACAACAGTTCTTGCATGCAATTTAACCCCTGAAATAAGGACACTCTCACCCATGTGGACACTGCCTTCTGTTCCATCGGTGTCCAGAGAGGGGTTCCACTGTACTCTCAATTACTTTAGGTACCAGAGCAATACAGCCAAGACTTGCCTGGACACCATCCTCTCGATCCAACCCAAGGATAGCTCCAGCGGAGGAGGAGAGACGAGAGAGAGCATCGTGACGAGGCAGGCAGGGGAGATGCTCTCCAAGCTCCCAGCCGACTACATCCCCCACGAGGTCCGGGAGCGACTGAAGAAGATGGGTGCCATCGCTCCCATGAACATCTTCCTGCGGCAGGAAATCGATCGGATGCAACGCGTGATCACCGTCATTCGGACGACTCTGCAAGACCTCAATCTTGCCATCGAGGGAACCATCATCATGAGCGAAGTGAGGCAACTGAATTCACCATAAATTCACATATTATCACTTCCTTATTTAGAATCTCAGAGATGCGCTGGACCGTATTTATGATGCAAAGGTGCCCAAGACATGGGGAAAGGTAACGTTCTTATCAGCAGAGATCCAAAATAACATCGATGACAATCTTATAGATCTCGTGGGATTCAACGACCATTGGGTTCTGGTACACGGAGCTGCTTGAGAGAGACGCGCAGTTCCGGAGCTGGGTCTTTGACGGGAGACCCAGCTGCTTCTGGATGACGGGGTTCTTCAACCCGCAGGGCTTCGTGACGGCCATGAGGCAGGAGGTGACTCGAGCACACAAGGGGTGGGCGTTGGACTCGGTCATCGTCCACAACGACATGACTCGGATGAACAGGGAAGAGTGTAAAACTCCGCCGGACGAAGGGGTCTACGTATACGGTCTGTTTCTTGACGGAGCCGCGTGGGACCGAAAGAACAACCGGCTGACCGAATCCACACCAAAAGTCCTCTTTTCGTCGATTCCAGTGGTGCACATCTATGCCGTGAACACCAAAGACACTCACGACCCGAAACTGTACGTGTGTCCCGTGTACAAGAAACCGCACCGCACCGACCTGACTTACATAACGGGTTTGCTGCTGAAGACGGTACAGACACCGGACCACTGGATCAGGAGGGGCGTTGCCCTTCTCTGTGACATCAAGTAGCTTACGCACAATAGTAAAGTGGTAGTATGGTGTATTAGGCGCGCGCACATAGAAACACAAGATGTATTTTATATACGTAGTTAGCCATATTTTGCAAAGCGTAGTGAGAAAATGAAGGAAGTGAAAGATAAACTGTTGGTGCGCAATAAACATACCCACGCTAAGCAAAACAGACCGTGTGCTGGCGACAAACTACTAATGCCCTTGAAACACTCTTGATAAATAAGACGGTTGCATATAAAATTTAAAATGGGTAAGTGTAAATTTTTACACTGTTTATAAAACAATGATCGTCTCGGTGGATAGCAAGATGTCTGACATGATTACACACACACATGAACCAGTATTCACACAGAGTAAGGTCAGCGTAAATGGTACACTCCATCATAATAATATGACATTCTACTTGGCTGAAATATTAATAGTGTCAGTGACGGCAAACTTGCAACACAAAATGATGATACAAAATAACCCAGTGATATTAAGTTTTTAAACGTCATAAAATGGTACAGAACACTGACCTTAGGGTGGTACTGCTGCCTTTGTGTTTGGCAGTTTTCCGCTTCTTCTGCTCCGTCGACTCTACATCGCTACTCTTCTCAAGTTCTTCGTCGCTGATTTCAAACTTTGAAACCAGGGAGTTTGCGAGTTCCGTGAGCTCCTTCTCGCCCCCCGTCCCACTCCGTCCGCCGTCACTGAGGCTGCTCCCCGACCTGTGTGAGTTGCTGCGCTGCCTCCTTATGCTCTCCAACAGCTCCGTGAGACTCTCAGAGACGCCGCCATCGACCGGCGTGTCTGGAAGACTGTGGACGTGGCGCATACGCAGGAGTTTGTCCCGACCAAGTTTCCGTCTCTCGATAGTTGGGTTTGACCCGTCGTCTGAACTGACGCTGTTGACTCGCGACGGCCTCGCTCGCAGGCTTCTCCGGCGGAACGAGCTTCGTTTGTGCCTCATCCTCCTGTGCTGGGCGGCTTCGAAAATACCCGAGACTTCTTCATCGGAGCTTCCAGTCCACGGGGTTGGTGATTTCCTGCTCGTGAGCAGAGGCGAGTTGGACGGGGACATTCTCGGGAACGTGCTGTTCTTTGGAAATCGTCCAGAGGTGGTCATGAGTTCGACAATGTCGTCGTCGTCTTCTTCTTCGTCGCTTCCGTCTGACTTACTCATGGCCGCAGCCGCAATGCTGGGGGAGCTCCGTGAGTTCAAAAGACGGCGAGAGCGAACGGGACTGCCGGCAATCGAGCTGCGCGAATGCGGGGAGTGAGAACGGGGACTGTTGGAGTGGACCGGGCTACTGGAGACTCCGCGATTCATGAAATCGGGGAGACTGTCAGTTTCGCTCTCCTCCTCAAAAGTGGTAGCGAGGGGTCTATGCTGGTGGAACCCGCTGGTGTAACCGGCAGAGAGATGGTGTGGAGAATCCCCGGGAGGTTCTACCGTCCCGACTATCGGAACCTCTTCTGGTTTTATCGTGAGTGGGAAAGACGGCGTTGGGCTCTTCCACTGCTGGTGCTCTCCGTTGATCCCACCGATTTTGGGGCTGAGGTAGGTGGTGAGGTCGTGGCTGGGACTGGAATATGGACTGTAGGGTGTCGAGCACTTGAAGGCCTGTTGCCGCTGTTCATCTGTCTGTCTCACTGGAGTGAACCCGCTCGCCTGGTTCATCGCTCCCGCGTTCTCGTCGTTGCACCATCTCGTCGGCGAAGCTTCCGTGGAGTCGTTGTGGTGCCTCGGAGTTGCCGCCGCGGGCTGCGGTCGTCGTCGAGTGAGAACCCCAGTCTCAGCGGAGCCGATTGACTTCATCGGCGACGGCGTTACAGCTGTCTTGCTTGGCGATCTGCGCAAACACAACTGTTATCACAAACACCCCGACAGTGGCCATTTGGGAGAGAAACACTGTTACGGCAAACAAAACCTACAAACACCCCCCTCCACCCCACTTTTGCCGGGGCTAAGGTCAACACTATTGATGCACAAACACTCCCCTACAATTCCCTAACACAGCAACTTATACACGGTATATATATACTTTGGGGGAGAGTGCGACAAGAGATGTCCACAAAGTAATTGAGTAAAAGGCGATGTATGCATGCAAGTAATTATGTGGGGCATGTTTGGCTGGTATGCTTGCACATAAAAGAGTGATGGCTTGTCTCTAAGTAATCTGTGGGGTACGTTATCTGTACACGTAGGCTTGCACATGCAAGTGGCGACTAGCAACAAGTATTATGGATGTATATACATACATGTAAGCTTGCTCACGACCTGTGTATAAGTCTCTAGGGTGTATTAGGGAGAGAGCGGAACTGGGAATTGCGTAATTACGGACCATTAGCTCCACTGTACACCCCTTCATTACGAACATTGATCATGATGCAACTGTACATTGTTATGGGATGTATGGAACCATGCTACATACAGTACATACGTATACTGTATTGTAGCATGGACATTATGGGATCTATGGATGCAGTATACAGTACATACGTATACTGTATTGTAGCATGGACATTACACTGCACAAAAGCATGAGTATTTGGAGAGCTAAGCAAGCCCACCTAGTCCTCTGAATTGCTATGTACATGCTTGACAATGTGCATGTGCAAATATTGCACAGATGAGGTCAAAGGTCATTGCTCTACGGACTTGCTCGTGTTTACTTCCCAAAACAAGTGTTGCTATTGCACAGCATTGTAGAGACACTTATTGTATGGACTTACTGAAAGGGACCGACTATAGGTGTTATGACCGGCATTGACACTTTCCGAGCTCTGGTTGGGGTCAAAGGAGAGAGTGCCATGCGGCGATGGCGCTCAGCCTCGGCGAGCAGAAAGAGCGTTGCAGCTGTACTGCCGTATGCATTGGTCTTTAGTCGACTGTTATGAGAAAGAAAAAGAGACAAAGACAGTCATGCTAGCATGACCATTGAAACACAGTCTTGTTAGGGGTTGAGAAGACAGTCATGCTAGCATGACCATTGAAACACAGTCTTGTTAGGGGTTGAGAAGACAGTCATGCTAGCATTACCGACCATTGAAACACAGTCTTGTTAGGGGTTGAGAAGACAGTCAGCTACATGCCATTGAACACAGTCTTGTAGGGGTGAAGACAGTCATGCAGCATCATTGAAACACGTCTTGTTAGGGGTTGAGAAGACAGTCATGCTAGTAGACCATGAAACACAGTCTGTTAGGGGTTGAGAAGACAGTCATGCTAGCATGACCGACCATTGAAACACAGTCTTGTTAGGGGTTGAGAAGACAGTCATGCTAGCATGACCGACCATTGAAACACAGTCTTGTTAGGGGTTGAGAAGACAGTCATGCTAGCATGACCGACCATTGAAACACAGTCTTGTTAGGGGTTGAGAAGACAGTCATGCTAGCATGACAATTGAAACACAGTCTTGTTAGGGGTTGAGAAGACAGTCATGCTAGCATGACCGACCATTGAAACACAGTCTTGTTAGGGGTTGAGAAGACAGTCATGCTAGCATGACCGACCATTGAAACACAGTCTTGTTAGGGGTTGACAGTCATGCTAGCATTACCGACCATTGAAATAGAGTCTTGTTAGGGGTTGAGAAGACAGTCATGCTAGCATGACCATTGATTGTTAGGGGTTGAGAAGACAAGCACTTTCGATACTTACATTAATCACGCAATAAATCTCTGAACATTCATGATTATTACAAGCTGATATTGCATGCAAGGAAGCTTTATGCCCATTTTTATCCTCAACCAATAAGCAATTGCATAGGCAGCTATAATAAAGAGTGTTCTAAACGTGTCAAAAAGTCACTTACTTGAGGATAGAGGCTTTGCTGCCGTAGCCGCCCAATTCAAGTCGAGTGAGAACCAACTGCAGTATGTCGTCTGGGATCTCCTCGAGGGAGGAGAAGGGAGGGAGGAAGTAGGGGGTGTGGACGAGAGGGATGTCTGATTTCAGCCACGGGTGAGCCGCCACTTGCTCAAGAGACGCTCTGTTTGCTGGGTCGACCACCAGCATGGTGGCTATGAGACTGAGTGTGTTAGGGGAGGGAGAAGAGAGAGAATGCACAGAGAGGGGAGAGGTTTGTGGTAACTGGTAGCATGAGACCAAAGAATCAGACAGATCACACACAATACTAGGTAGGATGTTACGCAAGCCTCATGGGCGATGGTTTTCCCAACCTGTTTGCTCGACTAGGCCTGGCTTTGCAAAGTTGAACTACATGTAGCTGGAAACTGTGAGCAACAGGGAGCAAACAAGAAGGCGATTTCTCTCCCAACACACGTTTCTTGGTAGAGCACCTCGCCCGGTAAACAGGAGATCGCGGGGTAAACACCAACCCAATTCCGTGCACTTGTTATCGTTTTTAGAAAAGAGTTCCATTAGCAAAACTTGGCTCTCTTTGGGACTCCATACAATCGCCCTCTTTGAGTGCACAGGATAGGCTCAATGGTGGCGTATGTACGTCCATCTACTGCAGCTTCCTGGGCCCACAGTGCATGTGATGTGGGCCTTCACCTACGTACACATCCGCTGAGGGTTAAACAAAGGCAAAAATGGCAGGCGTGGTGTGTGTGTGTGTGTGCGTATGGCTGCAGGACATGCCTCTCGTCATGAGAAAAACGTTCAATTGAGTGGGTGGATCGACGAAGTCCTATAATACAGTTGTACTGTACAGTACGTCATACACTGGCCAGAGTTGGTTACTATAGTTGGGAAGACCTTCGAGAGATGAACTTTACCCTGAGGTATAGCGTTTGAACTGTACATTATGTACCACGCCATTGTCAATTCGCCAAAATGTACTGCACAGAACCAAGTGATTGATAGCAGCTCATGGGCAGTACTTTGCCTGGGAAAATGTGCATCACCACTGCTGTGCGTGCACAAATTTGACTACATATAGACACTAGTAAGTTCTACAATTGATAATGGAAGGATGAGAAGATACAGTAGATGAGAAAAGACGAAACGACCATTGACATGCCACCACATTAGACTAACGCCACGATATAACTAAAACACATGGTCCTCATCACACTAAACCTCGTCACCTCAGCAACGAAAGTTCACGATGTAACCCAAAGCTCTGATCAGTTTGCTAACACTTCTGACCACAAAATTCCTTTAACCCTTGTCAGACACGTCGAATAGCCCAGGGGCACAAATTTGAGCCACTGACGAAGAATAGAGCTGACATTTATCTATTGGAGCAAAATGCATGGATTTCTTTGGCAGGCCCAAAAGTGAACTACATATTATTTCAGACACTATTAGTGACAAATTGCCAACGCCACCACATCAATGTCCTAGTCTAACAACATGCAGAGAGCGCTGTCTGTATCACTTGATGCATGTATAGAGTATGCAACCACGCGTGAAAATGCGTTGACTAAATGACCGAGTGATCACGACACTATTTCCTGCAGTATACAGTACTACATACGTACGTACAGATTCTGAACCCCACAGCACAACAAGGGCCCCTGGGTTTAACTACTGTATATGTACACATCATGACAGTAATGGGGGGCTCTCTCTTGAGCCTTCTCAGGGTCTCAACCAACAGAACCAGGACCACCGACACTGACAGACAAACATGGCGGACAGCAGTGTGATTGTCTGAGAACAGCGCTGAAATACTGTCCATCAGACAAATTGTAATATGCATACAAACCGGACACTATACTGCACTGGAAGAGTGGCAATAAGCAAAATTTGCCAATACACCGAAAATCCTTTGCAATTTTGCCATTAAGAAAACGGATACCTCATAGAGTTGGTATGTGGTATGCATGGGGGGTATATATAACCCTAGCAGACACGAGTAAACAGCAGTTGATGTTATTCATTTCTGGTCCCCTGGGAAGCACGACTCAGCCTTTCCTACAGTGTGAGTTACCATTCGCTCAACCTGGGGCCATTCATTAACGAGCAAGACTGCCGCAAAAGGGCACGTCGATCGTGAATTCTATCAATGCACATCCGTAACTTGAAGTTGGCACAGGAGTCGAGCTACTGAGGAGTCTCTCCACAGCACAAATTGGTCTAATTCCCAACTAAGGCAGGTGTATAAACTGGATTTCCCACGCTGGCACTGCATTGAATTCCACACCACACCACACCGTCCCAACTCGTGCACACACATACGTAGTTACGCAGTACGGCGTACGGTGTCAGTGAAAACGTATGGAATCAGGAGACCTCTAGAAGCTCCGGCACGCACCACACATCGAGTGGTGACACTCCAAATGCACATGCCGGAGTAGGGCTACTTAAAAGACTGAATCCGTAGATATTTGCTCAGGAGGGGGGAGACTGTGTTGAGGTAAGGCAACCATAGGCCACCATCCATACGCAGCAAACTGCAATGCCAGCTTTTAGCATTATAATTATGATCGCTATAAAAGGCCGCCACGATACACGATGCAACTTCATTGTGAGTAGGGTATAATAGAACGTGCGTACAAGTTTCAGGAATAGAAGGTGTGTCTGCCGCATGCAAAATGTTGCATAGAGCCATCATACCCACACAACAAGTCCCGATTATTAAATTACATCGTGCATCTTTTCCATAAGGTATATACTGGAGTTTATAATGACGTCATTTGATTCACAGGTATAGGAAGTGGTGGAGGTGTAGACTGAGGGTGGAGGAACTGGTCAAGGAAATGAAGCAGAGCACACCTTATTAAGGACATGTTCACCAGAAACCACTCATGTAGTATATATGTACATGCAGCTTTTTCGTTCATACAAATTACAAATAGATGTGACGATTTTTGGGTGAGCCAGGGAGCCTGAGAGAGTCAGAAAGGTGTGATGTTAGCCCACGTGCGATGTTCTGTGCAACATTTTGTTAAACGACTGAATTAGAGTAAAGTAGGCAGATGTAGAAAATGGGGTTTCTGGACATGGTAACAGACTTACGATCGACAGGCGTCTGACACTTTGGCAGGTAAGTTGTACTTTCCGTCCATGATGTGAGTGAGTACTTCGTTTGGAGTCCCGCACGCAAACGGTGATCGGCCAGTTATCATCATGAACAGGATGACTCCCAAACTCCACACATCTTTGGGAGGAAGTGGAGAAGAGAGAGAGAGAGTGAGTTGTACACAACTAAAAGAGCAACAACAACAACTCAACTGTTTTCTATTACACAATAACCCTGGACTACATAGTGCGTAAACACCCAACATCCTCGAAACGCACGGCAACCACAGTTTGCCAAAGAAACAAACGTAAGCACGCCGACAGTTGGGTATACTCTGTTGGAATGCACAAAACAACACGCTGAATCCACCGAAAGACTCTGACACACTGTGCACAGTCCAGCCAAGTGGTTTGTTGGGCCTGCAAGTGGTACACTTGGACACCCTGAGCAGCCAGGAGGGGTAGGACGTAGGGTGGTGTGTGTAATTTTTTCAAAGGCGTGTGCGTTGTTGACTCTACACAATACTCCACCTCAAAGACAAGGCAAAGAGAGTAGGACAAGCTGGTAGTACACACACACACTCTTCTCGGCGGTGGCGACAGGGTGAGCCATGAATCAAGTGGGAACGTGCACGGGACACGGCCTCTACATCTCACTTTGTGATCAACAAAGACATGCTGGGATTGACGCAGAACGTGCCTATGTACACACGGAATACCAGGAACTATTAGGGGACACCTTCGCATGAATATCGGTTACCAAAAGATCTCCCTTCCCATTTGTAATCCACATATCTGAGTGGGTGGAGGGATCAATTCAATCGCCCATGCCTCACCTGATAAAAAACAGGTGTACGGGAATATTCCAGTGGGGGTAAAAGAGGCAGTCTTAAGGCCACTCCATTATGCACGTGAAGAGCTGTTAGATGAGGCAAAGCATTGATGGAAGATAGTGTACTGGACGAGGCACTTGGCCGCAGTGGCTACTGACCCTTTGACAACCTAATGCTCGGACACAAAACACGACAGAAGGGGACACATGCTCTAAGACCTTTTGTCCCTCTTTAAATCGGTTATAGAGAGTGATTTGAGCAAAGTACTACGTACTTAGAACATGTGTACACACATTGTACTGGCATCGTACCTATTATACACGTCAAAACAAGATTTTTATATATACCTGAACAAAGCGAAGTGGGTCAATCGCATAACACGACCTCAAACCACCACCAACACATGGTTACCAACTAGACACGAAAATGCAAGTGCGACTGATTACTCTACAAAGTAGTTCCCCATTGCGCTTGCCCGCCGTGTAGCAGAGCAAATGCGAGACACGACAACTCACCGATCTTGGGTGGGTCATAGGAGTCCCCTAGCAGAATCTCGGGAGCTGAGTACTCGAGGGATCCACAGCTAGATTCAATGAGCTCCCCTGGTAGAAAGGTCCGGGAGAGACCGAAGTCAGTCAACTTCACTCGAGGCAGCTCTCGGCCGCCTCCCGTGCAAAACACTAGGTTCTCCGGCTTGAGGTCTCTGTGGACGACGTGCAGGCGGTGGCAGTAGCGAATGGCGGACACCGTCTGGCGGAAGATGCTCCGCGAGACGTCTTCGTCTATTCCGTTGGGATTCTTCATTATGTAGTCGTACAGGTCGCCTCCGTCGCCCAACTCTTGGATGAGGTAGAGTTTGTTCTGCGTGTCTATGACTTCGTAGAGACGGATGATGCTCGGGTGAGTCACCAGTTTCATGCAGCGGACCTCCTGGTAGAGGTGAGTCTTCGAGACTTCGTCGAGTTTCAGTTTGTCGATGACTTTGATGGCGACCCGGAGACCAGTGAAGACGTGGCGGGCGCTCTTCACCACGGCAAAGTGGCCCTGGCCCAGCGTCTCCTCCATGTCGTAGAGCCCTGCGACCTGCGACATCTTTCGAAGGTAGTGTACGACGAGTCTCGCCTCTCTCCGAAAATATTTCCTACGGCGTCACGGTTCAAATTTTATAGCTAACGGCGGCTTGGCCGTCTCGTTTGTAGCTGCTAGCCTGTACTCTATTAACGCTCTTCAAATACTGAAACACTGTCATCTGAGTTACTAGTTGAGTTGTTAGAACACATCCCATTGACTGCATGTGAGGAGGAGCCAAAAACCGACGCAGATGAGATTCACGACCTCTCAGAGTATACTATTTTCGCTCTCTAATTATGCGTTTTGAGAGTGTGAAATGTCGAAATTGTTTGTTCCAGAGCTAGCGAGCGCAGCTAGAGGGGCGGAGGACAATGTCTGCCTCTCGAGGCCTATCCTTGTGGAGGCTTGCTAGAGCGGCTCCCAGAACCGTGTCATTAGCAAAGCCGAGCTGTAAGTGTCGTCTGGAGCACTGGGTTTCGTGTCTCGCCTACATAACCCTGCATATTTATGCTATATCCAGATTCAGCTCCGCGTGTTCTGCCTCTTGCTACTCAAACCCTCACCTACCCAAGTCCTCGGAGGCTGCTCTCCAGCCAGACCAACTCAGGTTAACATCCAGCTATGGTCTCACAACCAAGTTATGGTAACAGTGTAATATAATAGAAGCTCAACAAGAACGAACCAATTTCTCTCTACCTCTGAGGGTTTTGATGTGTGGCTGATCATGTTTAGCTAGAGTGTTCTGCTTGAATTAGACTTGTATTGCAACAATAGAAACTGATCATCACAACACGAAAAGACTATAACAACACACTCTTATTTCACAGATCCTCCTGGGTTTGGTTCCATACCGCCACGTCAAGAACCAGAATCGAACCAAGTCTCTGCAGAGATACCGGACTCAGATGCAACTGATGATGCAACGTCTGACCCGGAACTGACCTCTGACCCTGAAATGACCTCTGACTCAGACTCGTCGTGGTCTGAGAGCTCTGAACTGGACGAGCCCAGCGTTGTGCTGGAGGCTGCACTGGGGCGCGTCCCAGCTCTCGGGTGGACACCGGCAGCTCTGGAAGAAGGGGCCAGGGACATGGGTCTCACTCACGTCGTCGAGGACATGTTCCCAAGGTGACAACAGTTCCTTTTCCTTGTGTGTTTGCACATATTTGTCATTGGAAACCTAGGGGTCATAGGTAATGTGTGTTTATTCTATGATCTACATGTACTAGGAACTGTTGATACCGAACTGCTAATTTGGACGGAGTGTGTAGATTACCAACTTTTAGAGAAAATAACTGAATTTGTGGAGTGGATTGCTTGTGAAGTTGTAGTTCCCCTTCCACCAAGTGTATCCTTGAGAAACAGGCAAAAGTTTTCTCCCCCCTGAAAGTTTGCTGCCTTACCAGTAGACCTGCTATAATTAAGGAGTTAATGTATGTTTCTCTCTCTCTCTCTCTCTCAGGGGAGGGGGAGAGCTGGTGGACTATTTTGATACGGTGTGTAACTCGGATCTGGTGGAATTCCTCAAACAGAGAGCTGAGGAAGATGGGTACGTGTATATACCGACCAACATACACCACAGTGCAACTTTCTTTCGTGTGGCCAAAAAGTCTCCTATACAAAGTATAATGGTCCAGCAACACAGTTGCAGGAAATGCACATCATACCCATGGTGGTATGCACTATAATTTCATGCATTAAAGTTGGTGAGACTTTTCTTTCACGAAACAAGGTTGTGCCTGTGTGCTGGCCCCAGCAATATGTTGAGACTCACGTGTTCACAATAGCTGACCCTAGTGACCTGGGAGACAAACGGACTATTGACTATATACAATTTGTATGTAGTGTTCAGATTAGGGCAGAGGTCCAGCCACAATAACCAGATAGTAGCTCAGGTAGCTGTGGCAATTAGTGCTAATTTGTCCTGCAAACCCACTAGAACAAATTCAGAAATTCTAGACCAGCAACAGAGTTTTGTGATAAGGCAACAACACAGCTTGCAACTATATACTGTGTGAATGTAGTGTTGTGTGCTCATGTGACTATCATGGGTGTATCATGTGATGTACTGTGAAGGGGATACTGTGTTAATGTGGTGTGCTCATGTGACTATCATGTGTGTATCATGTGATGTAGTGTGAAGCTATTGGAAGAGGCCGTGGAGCACAGACTCAGGATGATCATCCCTCACGTCAACAACTGGCCTCAGGTATCGCACACATTGGACCCCAGTGAAATGTATGTAACTTTCAATATCTACCTGGGGGAACAAGTTTATGCATTGCAGTGTGATTTAGAGACTCTCAAATCTTCCATGCCGACGAGTAAAACCAGTACCCCCCCCCTCTCTCTCTCTATTTCCTAAGGCGATGGCTCTAAAGGCGTTCCCAGTCAATGCCCCGACAGCCCTGGAGAACCTGGGACTGCTGGTAGACGACATGTGGTACTATGCAGGAGACAGGTCCACTGACTTCTCCTGGTACACCAAGAGGGGCCTCCTGGCCACCATTTACACCTCTACTGGTATATATGGGGTATTGACAGTATGTAGCACCTGTCCCCGTGGGAGGCCAACACACACACACACACATACATACACTGTGCAAGTTTGGTGCACGAGGCGAAAGTGTCACGTAACCTCAGTAGGGATTGAGACTACTGATGTTGGCTTTTACAGAGCACTCCAACCCATTAATCATGGTATAAAGAGTGACGATGAGTAGTGGGGGGAGTGTAGGAAGGATTACAGCTGAAGGACTCTTTAGGTGAGGTTGCACCATGTTTCAGCAAAGGCCTCACCTGTACGCTATTTTAGTGTGGTATGTATATAGTTCTTATTTTCCACTGTTTATGCCAAGTAATTACACCCACAAGCACGCTCAACTTCTGGTATGTTCATTCAACATTACTAACTCCAAAGTCCTCTGCTGTATAAGTCTATTATTCGACTGTTGTCCGCTCCACTGTGGGTGGATATATAGTGGGAGTCTGGCTACTAAGGAGGCTCTAAGTGCCAAATGAACTCAGGAGAGAGGATTATGCTCAGCCTGTGAGCCGGTATAATGTAGTGTCTATGTAGGGAGTTGGTTGCTGCGCAGCACGCCACTGGCTGGCCAAAACTTCAAACACATGCATAATGCCTCGATTACATAATCCGCAATTCAGCAATGGAGGTGTACCTGCACACTCATATTGCAATGGTTGACTGTTGACACTGTTTTGAAATAGTTACGTAATAGCTTCACAATCTTATCCCCCTGTCTGCTTGTGTGCCCGACAGAGGTCTTCATGGTGCAGGACACTTCGGTCGACTTCCAGGAGACGTGGAAGTTCCTTCATCGCAGAATGGAAGACGCCAACACCTTTGGCAAAGCTTCAAAGGAGGTACAACATACAGGCCTCTAACAGTAGTCTCAAAGATGCAGTGACAAACTCCTCCTCCCCCATGTGTGTATATAGTTCCAAGGTCTTGTGTCTGGAGGGGTGGACACATTCTCTGCTGGACTGAATGCTGTAAGTTGCCAACTATAATACAAATGTGTAATCGCACATAGCCTCGTGCTGGCCAGAAGCTCCAGAAACAGACATTGTATACAACCTTGTCTGCTAAGCTGTATATACATGTACCCTGGGTAAGGAGCTTCATAAAAGTATATAGTATGCCGAGAACCCAGGATCGATTCAATGTGGCGAGAATTAAACATGGATCATTTGGCTCGCACTAATACACTCAGAGTGATTATAAAAGAACATCCTTCGAACAAAATTGTGTTTATCCACTGTATGATCAATCTCACAGGCTCTGAATGCATGTGGGATGAAAGGCCGATGATTTTTCGTTCTACGGCTGACGTTACAACATTATAGTCAATGTGGCTGTGTACTGTAGCACCTTGTTCCCCCAATTTCCCCTGCACTGCTGGATTTTTTTGAACCTCTTACTTTTTATGTGCAAAACTGTGAGTTTGCTGACTAGTAACGCACCAGAGAGAGACTGTTTTGTTAAAAATAATGTTCTTGAGAATAATTGTACATGTATGTATACAGTAATACAATGATTAACATCAGTATAAAGATTCAGAAAGAGAAATGGAAACATTGTGACATACAAACACACACAAAAGGTAAACGACAACACTACAATTTTAGTTTCCCTCACAGAATCATGCATTCTGGCACAACCACTCGGGATTATATTATTAAGTATACAACACATTGACCTAGATAGACAGAGGGATAGTGGGAGGCAGTGCACATACACAACCATAGCTATCCCTCCTGTCCAAAGTCACTCGTGAAGTCTTCAAACCGTTTCAAATCGTCCGAATTTACCGTGGGGCGGTTGTTTTGTAGCGCCTTGAGAAAATCTGAGATGGTGAGCGCAGGCTCCTTTAGCTTGTCGCTTTGTATGGACATCCAGTTCAGCTCGGTCGCTCCGGGTTCGCGAGGACCGCACGGAGTCCAAAGGTCGTTTACTATCTCTTCGGGGTTCTGGGGGTTTTGGCCGGTCACCTGCTTGAAGTGGGTGGCAGTTTGGACCTTCCGTATTGGCATCATTAGAGCGTCTCGGACTACGATACCAATGTCTGCACCAGAGTAGCCGTCGGTACGCCGGGCCAGCTGCGTGAAGTCATTTGGTGTCAGAGCGTGCGCCGTGTTGCCTATGTGTATCTCGAATATGCGTCGTCGTGGTGACTCCTCGGGGAGCGGGATGTAGATGCGTTTCTCGAAGCGACGTCGGATGGCGGCGTCGAGCCCCCAGGGGATATTTGTGGCCCCCAGAACGAGGATTCCGTCGTTGTCCACCCCGACCCCCTGCATCTGGACCAGGAACTCTGTCTTGATGCGGCGAGTGGCGTCGTTTTCTGAGTCCGACCGCGAACTGCAGAGGGAGTCAACTTCGTCGATGAAGATGATGGCTGGTTTGTTGGTCCGCGCCAACTCAAAGAGATTCTTCACGAGTCTCTCGCTCTCCCCGAGCCACTTGGAGACGAGGTCAGAGGAGGAGATGGAGAAGAAGGTGGAGTCGGCCTCCGTCGCGACTGCCTTGGCTAGATAGGACTTCCCCGTGCCTGGAGGCTGTAGGCATAGAGGAGGAAGGCACAACGGGTGAATCTAGGAAAACGCTTGACCAGATAATTCATCCCAGTCTGGAACTGGGTTCACCACAAAATTGCGATGCATCCAGTATATTGTATTATACTTAGGCACTCTTTAAACTATCTTTCAGCATATAGAAAGCTAAACTATAATTATATGTACTTCCCCTCCCCCCACAAGCTCTCCCTCGTACTCACCCCATAGAGAAGGATGCCTCTCCAGGGCTTTCTCTTCCCCGTGAACAGGTGAGGGAACTTGACCGGCATTATGACCGTCTCTTTAAGTGCGTCCTTGCAAACGTTGAGACCGGCGATGTCGTCCCAGCGGACATTGGGCTTCTCTGCCACTATCGCTCCTGCAGCAACAGTGGGGGGACAAATGCACATCACATACATCGTTTGTCAAACTTTGCTGTTTCTGTTTCAGCGATGATAATTGCTAAAGTTACCCCACAATTCTGTGGGCGGGATGGAATGAAAAGATGCATAATTACAGTTCATAAACTTCTCTCCCTCTGACGCTGTGTAATGAAATTTGTCCAGAACTTGCGAAAATTTGGGCATTGTATATTGTATATTACCATGAGTCCAAATACCATTTCTCTAGTGTCAGCTCTGTGCATGCATGTACTTGAGAATATTCACTGACCTTCCAGTTGAGACTTGAGTTTGGTTTTCTCAGCATCTGCTTCATCACTGTCGCTATCATCGCCTCCTTTCTTGTCCCCCCTGCAACCAGGCACACCACCACCAGTAAGCAGTAGTCAGTAAACGTGTCAAGACATGGTGAATATACTCCCACACATGCCTTGCACCCAAGACAAGCAACGCTTTCCCGAAAGCTATCCCCCCCCCCCCCAACAAGTAAGTCTCAACACATGGTGTAGTTGACTCCTTTTTATGAGCTACACTAGGTATATACCCCTCTGATGTATAATAATTATGATACTTTTAATACCTAATGTAAATGTAGTCCAAGGGCCCTAAGGATGTCATTGGACTCACTTCTTGGTCTCCTTGTGAGCGGTCCCACCACTACTGCCATGGACCTTCTTGCTCTTCTTGTTCACATACTTCTTCAACTGCTCCGCTCTCTCGAGGTACTGTGTGCACTTTGACCGTATACTGTCCTTTGACCTTTCCCCATGTGCCTCGTCTGTGTAACAAATTACAGACGCCGCTATTGAGCTATTGTTCAATGCAATTACAACACAGTGTCTAGGAAACGAAATGGTAATATTGGCATATTAGCCTGTGAAAAAACAAGGAAGACAAGGGGAAGTCAGACTGCGACTGCTTAAAAGAGAGACGGAAATGGATAGAGAGAATATGTATCAAAGTTTGGCATACATTTGAGGGCATGTAGGAAATAGTCGATGGCGTGCTCGTAGAGTGGAAGAGCTTCCTCGTACTTCTGTTCCTGATCTGCATCTGTCGCCTTCTTCACCAGCTCAATGGCTTTCTGTGGTACAAACAAAGAAGTAAGAATTGCACACAACATGGTTGATAGAAGCTCCTATGTACTAGTAAGTTAGGATTCTATTACAAGTACATCCTTGCTTGGGACTAACGTTTGCTATAAGAAGTCATGACTCATACAAGCACGTCACATGACGAACACTAGCTGTGGAGTCAGTTCCAGTAAGAGCAAATACCCCGCAATACATGGGTATCATAGACATGTACTGTGTATGTATGGCTATGCTATACAGTAAGACATTGAGCTACACAGCTAGCCCCATTTATAACGCACAACGGAGAAAAGTCCCAGGCCCCTCCAGATTGCTGTTTGAAAAGCCACACCCACGCCCTCTAGATGCGACCACACCCCCCTCGTACGACGAGAACGCTCTCTCGAGCGTTTCTGGCAATCGTCTGCCCCCGACTGACCTCCATGGCCGACCCCGACATCTCTGAAGTCTCCTCCTGGGTAGAGAGGATCTTTGGAAGAACGGAGAGGTGCGTAGGAGAAAGCGGCTCTCAACTGCTCTGTGTATCCGGATCCGTTCGCTGTTCGTTTATTATGTCATGTGCCTATCACATGAGATTCATACCGTAAATTTCTATCTATTTTAGCGAAATGTATAGTAAAAGAAATTTTGAAATACTCAGAGAGCTCTAGAAGGGGGGTGGGAACGAAGTGTGCATGATGCCGGGCTGGCTGGATTCGGTACTTACCTATCTCTTACAATGGGGTCCTCATCATGACCCCCCTAAACAGAACATGGACGATATTGACGACCTTGAAGATGTTTTTGAGCTGATGTTCTCGTGCGGATGGGGGCTGGTCGTCGCCATATTTGTTCTCCTGCTGCTCTTCTGGCTCTTTCTCTACCTACTGTCTCTCAGAAACCAGTACAACCTCGCGGGGAAGCATGTCCTTGTAAGCGGTCCAATCGTGTTTCAGAGCTAACATTGAATGGGGTCTGTGTGTTCCTGCTGCAGATCACAGGAGGGAGTAGTGGGATTGGAAAGGCTGTGGCTAAAGAGGCGCTGCTGAGAGGTGCTGAAGTAGTGACTATTCTTGCACGGAATGAAGTAAGGACATAATGGCTCCTACTCTCCACTGCTACCAAACCAACACTTTGCAGGAGAAGCTCGAAGCAACTAAATCTGAACTGGAGAGACTGATAACTCCCAAGTTAGATCAAGTCAGTGAAATGCCGGTGCAATGTTTCTGCACTGTGCTGTTCACCTATTGTTTTGTACTGTAGAGAGTGAATACGATATCTGCCGACGTGTGCTCAGAGGAACTGCAGGAGGAGCTGGAGATTGGGCTGAGTGGGTTGCCCCCTGTTGACGTCCTCATTAACTCGGCTGGTATAACATTCACTGCTTCATTTCAGGACACAACTCCACAAGATTTTGAGGCAAGTGGAATTACTTGCCAGTTCATTGCAGTTTTGTCTATTGCCGCTGCACAGAAGTGATTGAAGAGTGTTATTTACTCTACAGAAGCAGCTGCAAGTGAATGTACTAGGGAGTGTCCGTCCCACAAAGGTTCTGCTGCCTGATATGATAGAGAAACAACAGGGCAGAATCGTCTTCATATCCTCCATGGCGGGCCAGGTCAGCCTGTCGATTCACTGTTGTAATAATGTTTGTCTAACCTACCGCTTTCTCTCACTGTGTGAGCTCTATTACACCAAAATAGCTGGCCTATATATATCTATGTACTACACTTAGCTGGGCTATCAACGTACACTGTTTTGCCCCCTATCCTTGCCCGTGTATATACCTCTTGTCAGACGGCTCTCTATGGCTACACTGCCTACTCGGCCTCAAAATACGCAGTTCGGGGACTGGCGGAAGTACTGGACATGGAGCTGAAGGTCCACAACATACGAGTCAGCGTGTCCTTCCCGCCTGACACCGACACTCCCATGCTACAGGTGAGGCTTATACTTATAGGTAGTTGAGTTGAAATATCTAACAAAAAAGCATTTGGTGTTATTTTGGTCCCCTGTTCTTTATCCAGGGGGAGCTGGGACAGAGATCGCCCATAGTGAAGGCTCAGGCAGGCTTTGGCAGTGTGTTCAAAGCAGAGAGTGTGGCTAGGGACATCTGTCGCGGCATCGAGAGAGGAAAGTTCCTCATAACCCACGGCTTTGACGGTTTTCTCCTGGGAGTCATAGCAACTGGGATGAGCCCAGTCTACCACTGGGCAACACTTATCACTGAGGTTAGCTCTCTTTCCAGTTTACCTGCTGTTATAATATTATTCTGGTTAGCAAAGTTGCAGAGGCATGTGTGCAAATTTCTCGGGTCAGAAGCATTCATATTATTGCTGGAATAATTGCTTGTTTTGCTGAGCTATATAATTATATAGGCGCAAAGATTGACACCAACTCAAATGATTGTGACCCTAAAGTATGGTACCTTGTGTGACATATGTGCAGGTTGTGTGTCTGGGGTTGTTTCGACTGGTGGGGTGTGTCTACATCACCCTGTTCTACAACATTGTCAGAAGAGAGACAAAGAAAGCCAAAAAGCAGAACTGAGTCGAGTGGCCAGGTATTTAGGCAACAATAACTCTACTAGTTTAGGTTAGGCCATGCATATAGAATTCCCCGTTTTTCACAATTATTGTGTTTTTGTCGAGCCAATTTAATGAAATTTGTCAGTGAAATTGCTGTTGCACGAGAGTGCAGTTTCTTTGTCTCTGCGTGGGTTTTGTAGTCAGAAGTGTCTCGATTGTAGCACTGACAGAACTTGAATGATAGGCTCTTCTGTTGTAAACTGTATTTTGGAACATAAATTTGAGAGCAGTTCGCGATAAAAAAAAAATTTCTGGATACCTTGATTCTGCCGGTGGCCTCTGCATGAAGCACAGGAGTTGAAACTCTCAGCAGTGACATTGTCTATGTACAACAAGAGACAATTATTAAACCTCAATTGAGGGGCAGGGGAAGGAAACTGCAAGTGAATACCTGAAGTTTGAGTCCAAGTTGTCTTTTCACATGCTGCTCTAGTACCTCCACAAATCCTGCAGACAAACAACCATCAATTGGTATAACAGAAAATTGAAAATTCACACCTAAACATTAATGAGACTGTAAGGCAAAAGCTAAAAAAACACAACCACACCCAGCACAACTCCAAGAATAAAAAAGAACTGCCCTGGGTGGGGGGATTCGAACCCACGACACTCTGCAGCCTAGGCACGAAATACCTGCGATCTTCTATTTAGAGCCAGCTGTATAAAATCTTCTAATATCAGTCTTGAAGATATATACCAGTCCTCCGTGATGTGTCGGTGTCTCCAGCTCTCTCCCAGGCACCCACCACAGAGCTGTAGGGTAGCGCCACACTCACCGTTGACAGACCTTGTTGGGTGACGGTGGGTGTGGTCTTGTACACCATTTGAACCCCACCCAAACCACGCCCACCTTGTAGAATAGAGGTGTGGGAGAGGGGAAGAGATGGAGAGAGAGAGGAAAGGCCAAAAAGTCATGTAATGTGTCACCATTATACCTAGTAGAGACTAGAGAGCTGTCTAAAAAAGTGATGTCATTAGAAAAGGGAGGGTGTATATATAGTGGGAGTGAAAGAGAGGAGAAACACTCACTAGTCTTCTCAGCGGTGGCAAACTGTCCCACCAGCAGTGAGAGGTCCTGAGCGTCTAGTGTGTGGGGACTGACGTGGCAGTCAAACGAGGTCTGGAGCCAGAGGTGTAGCTGGGAGGAGAGGGTCTGGGGACCGCGGGAGAGGAGGAGAGGGAGGGACGTGAACCCTGACTGGACCCGGTCCACTCGACCTAGACGACAGAGGAAGGCCTCCAGCATCACCACATCTTAAGGGGAGGGGCAGAGAGGAGAGGGGAGACACGAAGGGTGAGTTGTATAGCTTTCTGAGCAACTGAAGGAGACCAAGGCACAGAGGGTGTAAGTTGAGTTTGTGAATCGGTAACAGAGACTGTCACAGAAGCTTGCAATACAGAACGAAAATCTTCTCCTCGGTGCAGGTTTATCCACACATTACCTTTGTTTTTGACATTCTTCGTGGCACTGATTTTCAAGCCGTCAGAACCTGTTTGTAAGTGAACAGAGACATCAGCAGTTACCCTATAACACATTATTCTCTGGGATTCAGTACTTACCATCTAACCCAATTGATTTGACTACTTTCACAGACGTCTTTAGTTCATTGGGGACCCTTGAAACCTGCAGTCAGAAATTACATTCACGATTTCCTGATTCAAACTTGATGTAGCGGGTGTGTGTGAGTGTGTGTACCTGAGAGAGGAGGGAGGAGAGAGAGTGAGAGTGTTCAGAGAGAGCCGAGGGGGTGGTGGAGAGCTGCCAGAGAGGAGACACGTGATGGAGGTGCCACGTCTTGTCAACTGCGTCTAAAGCAGTGTTGTTTGATGATGGGTGGAATGTGTTTGTGTATGTATGCACCTTTCATGAACTCTAGTTGATTGGTGGTCGGTGTAAAATCCCAGAGAAAGTCGGTTGAAGGTGCCACTGGACCAGGGAAAGTCAGAGGCAAGAGGTATGTGAGTCGAGTCTGTGTGTAAGTACCTTGTGCGTCTCTTCTCCGTCCACTGGTGGAGTACGGCGTGGCCCTGACGCCTCTGGCTCTTCTCCTGCGACCACTACTGGCGGCAGGAGCAGCGGGGTCCGCCGCTGCTAGAGACATCAGCGGTGCAACCACCACGCACACACTGTTCCTTGACAAGGTCGCGCGCGGTTCTAATTTCCCGCCATCTATCTTGCGGTCTTCCCTTATGCGCATGCGCAGTAGTAGACGAAGCGACTATACATGATTCCCATTATTGTGCATATACAGACAGTGCAGTGATAAATAAGATGAAAGATGGCAAAGATTGTTGTGTGTGTCTATAAAAAAAAAATCTTGTCAGACTACAGGAAATTTTGCTATGAGTGATCTCCGGGTGCGGGACCTCGCCTTCTTGCGAGGACGTCGGCGGCAAGTCCACCAAACCAGGAACACCAGAACTGCCGCCACACCCAGGAGCAGGAAATTGGCCCCGCCCTCTGGCCCCTCCCCTCTTTTCCCCTCCAACATAACACTCTCAAACTCCGAGTCTCCCTGCAACAGCCACCAGACAACAGAGAGAGAAAAGAGAGGAGATAATTCCGTGACAAAATATATATAAATATGCAGCCCTTAATCCTAAAATTTTACACAAGTATGTATATACCTCACTGGGATTATACATGGGATTTCTTGGCATCAAAAGATTGCTGAGGAGAAAAATTAATATCAAGCTAAAATTTCAGCCGAATACACGTCATCAATGTGCAGAAATCACTACGGTAACGCCTTTATTTGACATTAATATTAAATACCTGGGTACAGATGAATTAATCGGGCGGGGTTTGGCCCAGATTAGGTGTGGGCAGGGTGGAGGGAGGCGTGTCCGGGCGGAGTCTTGGGGATCCAACACTCGGGAGTAGAGGTGGAGCCTGTTGCCTATAGCAGCACGATTAATATTAATTTTGTCATGATTACCAAATGCATGTGTTTTTCCCTACAAGTTAACTAAGTCCCTACTGCTCACGAGATTAAAGCTCTCCAATTTAGTATGCGCCAAATACTGGTATATATGTACTTGAGCTTTGCTGCGTTTGCTAGAACGCAACAAGACAACTGTACCTTCCATACGCTGGGGCAGAGAGGTGGGAGGAGTTCTGATGTGTTGGGAGAAGGTGAGGGAGGGAGGGGAGGAGGAAGAGGTGACGTGTTGCAGGAGAGTATCCAGCAACCAGAAACAGTCTGTGCAATGGAAATACACACGTGTAATATGTGTGTAATAATTATGGAACTGTGTACAGTACATGTGTGTAATACGGACACACTTCAGTACAGTGGGGAACTTTTGAAGGATGCAAATTTCATGGTTTGTGGGTTGGTTTCTTGGCAAACTTGTTGCTTGCAGCTGCATCACAAAGTTTTCTCTCTCATAAGTTTCCCATAATAATGACGTGAAGATCGGGTAGCGGGCAATTATTGGAAAACTAGATGATTGCTTTTCTATCTCTAATGGTCTACCGCCCAAAACCTTTCAAAGAGAAACAACTAATGAGTTTAAAAGACCCCTTTTTATGATTGCCATTACATCGTCTACCGCCCGTCTACCGCCCAAAACCTTTCAAAGAGAAACAACTAATGGGTTAAAAGACCCCCTTTTTATGATTGCCATTACATCGTCTACCGCCCGTCTACCGCCCAAAACCTTTCAAAGAGAAACAACTAATGGGTTTAAAAGACCCCTTTTTAAGATTGCCATTACGTATCTGTGTGTACCTCTCAGCATGTGTGCACTGTCCAGACAGTTGGAGTCTCCATAAACTGCTATCTTCCCACCTGACACGAGTAACACAGCATGTGGTAGAGTGACATATGAACCACAAGTGACTTTAACGGCAGTGTGTTAGCGTGGCAGTGTTTACCATCATTGGGAGTCTGGTAAAGGCCTAGAATAGGGACGTCTTGCAGTTCAGTTGTTCCTCCGTTCACCACCTCTGACCCTGTATGTATGTAGCACTCACTGCAATCACTGAATTAGATTCACAAGCCTCATATTCTGATGGGACATTTGCGCAGAAACTACACGTCAAGGTTATAAGAGTACAGTGGCGACTGTAAGTTAGTAGACAGTGGCTATTATTGAATAGATACGGGGGCTAGTATGAACCTTGATCGTTGAGGTCTCTGGCCAGGAGAGAGCCGTCCTGAGGGAACCGTGCAATGGCAGTGCCCGAGGCAAAGTGGATCTTGTGATCGCTGACTGTCATCTCCCCCTCCAGGACCTCTGAGCTGAAGGCAATGCCCAGGGTGACAGGAGATCATTCAATGCCGGGACATTGGCCCCTCCTGCATAGGGGGCATACATAATTTTTAATGAACCTGTAGTTGGGAAGCGAATACGATGTTTCAGTGTTTTTGCATAATTATGTGTCCCCCTTTAGAAGTATATACATGTACGTAAACTGTATCTTTCTCTCTTCTCCCAACCACACAACAAACCCGTGTCAGGCATCCACCATTGCCGTGTGTTCTCGTCATAAAACTTTATCTTCTTCATCACCTCGCTGTTGTACCAATCGGCAAAAACGACCAGGGACAGCCCCCTCTCCTCCACGTCCAGTTTCAGTTTTGATATTTCGTCTGGGAAGAACTCCTCTTCACTGTCTACCAGTAGTAAGGCACCTGAGGGAGAAATGAGTATTAGGAGCTGTAGTATGGAAATGTAGCAGTGAAATTGCAATGTGGGCAACTATTGACTTGGTTCTAGAGAGGGTTCAGACCGTATTGAGTGGCATCGAAACAGGTGAACGGGCTTCCAAGGACCTCCACAAAGTAGCCGTTGCTGCGAAGACTGTTGTACATGTCTCTAAAGTTGGTGTGGACGTGATCTCCATTCCTACATGAAAAAACATGTTTATAGCCAAACCAGTGAGCACAACTTACATAACTCTCTAGTTGTATATTATCAATACACTCTACTATATATATAGTGTGTCTGTATGCACACCTTGCTGCTATACGTAATACACATACTTTATTCCTTGCCACAAATGAGCAATGGAATGGGGGAAAGAAAGCTTCCTCAACACAAACATGTCCCCCTTTCCCTCTCAACCCATAGTAGTGCATTATAGGTAATAGCAGGCATAGGTGAGATCGTGCAAAGTACCACACCTGAACAATTGAATGGAGATTCACAACACAAAATGACAAATATGTCCGCCTTCAAAGTGTATGCCAGGAGTAAAATTCACACATGTAGAAAATATCATGTGATGCCAATGGGATTGTTTATTCAACAATGGAAAAGTTTCTGAACACAGACATACTGCTCCCTTTCCCTCCCCCTCTCTCTCTCTCTCTCTCTCTCTCAACTCACCAGTCCAGAGGATCGTTCTTCATCCTGAGATTGTCTCGAGGGAAGTAGCCGGCCGGGTAGCGGAGGTTGTGGAACTGGTCCCAGAGTATGCGGCGGTGACGAGGCGGAGTCGGAACGACCGACACCTTGATGGGGAGGTGGACCTGGGATTGGAGCGTCTCTCCTCCTGAACTAGAGCTCTGGATGTGTGTGGATGGGGGAGGGAGACAGAGAGAGAGAGAGAGAGGGAGAGAGGTGGATTGAAACAGGGAAAATTGTGTCCTATAATGAATGCAGAAAAAGAAAGGAAGATGATACATATGATGAATTTCGAGTGGTTTCACAGATGAAACTGGAGAAATACAAAACACACAAGTTTCGTAAACGCAGGCTCTGTGTAGTAGTATGTACACACCCCCCCAGAGTGGGTAGCCATAGTGGCTGGCCATAGTGGCTGAGTGGTGAAACAGTAGATGGGAAACACAGGAGTGAGATGTGTCAACTTAGAGCAACATAGTGAAGCGATAGTACCCCCCCCCCACACACACACTGGTGAGTGACTGACCGTGGGAGAGGAGATGGTAAGAGTAAGGTGCCCCTGAGCCACTCCGGTGAAGCTCCGCCCCTCTCTGGCCACGGCGAGGGAGACAGCGAGATACCCGGACCAAGGCCACAGGGTGGAGGGGTAGGAGACCGACACCTCCAGGAACTGGCCGTTGTGCTGGAGGTAAGGGTGCCAGGTGGGCTGGAGTGAGAGAGACAGAGAACACATGGGAGGACACACTCAATTGAACACTCTTGTTTAGAGGTTAACCAGACAAAGACAGCACACTTTTCGTACACTGCACATCTGATGTCATACAAAATTATACCCTCTCAATCCCTCTATATACACACATTTTAGGTACACTGTTTTACACGGTAAAACAAGGGAAAGCCAAACACTTCAATGTGTACTGCGACTGACCTTGCCTACAATTCTTCCAGTCACTCCCATACCATTCAGAAGAGTCACCTGTAAGAAAAGAGAGAAAAAACTGTATGTAGACAGCATAGAGTGGGAGTATAGCTCACGTTGACTGTGACTGGGAGTGCTGCGTAGTACATTGGCTGGGAACAGTAGGGCCAGAAGTAGGGACAGTCTGTGAAGTCTATCACACCGGGACTCAACCTGTACAGTGGGAAATGCACTTTTCACTACTCCACTCACACAATCACTATTGCACGCTGTGTTGCTGGGATTATGTACATACATCGCTCATGAATGGATGAAATCAACAACATGCTCTGAAAGTATTAAGCATCTAACATACCCCCACAATAGAGTATCACATATATTATACCGGAGTGTATCGTCAATCCATCTCATGGATGGTCATGGTTGATTCCGTGCCACTTAGAGTACAATACATTCTTATAGAGGGAGGGTCTGCTCACGTTGCTTGTGGTTTGTAGGTGTTGAGCATGTGGAATGCCCTCAGGAGGTCGAGTTTCCCGCTCCCCTGCTCAAATATGTTAGCCCCGCCCAGTCGCTGGGCCGAGTCCATCAGTGCTTGTTTCATGCTGGCAGGGTTGATGTGGGCGTGGTCGACGGCCCCGAGGAGAAGCGTCACGGCGCCCGCGACGACAGGGGAAGCCACGCTGGTGCCACTGAGGGAGCGGCAGCCTCCGTGGAGGGCGGAGCCTCGGACGCCAGAGCCGTAGGTGACGATGTCTGGCTTCACCCGACCGTAACCTGCTGGCAACTCCTAATGGGACAGTAGACAAAGTCTCTATTGTGTGAAGCTGATATGGAGCCCTTTCAATGGCAATTGTAACTATATACAATCGTCAAATTGCTGTATGCATGCATTATGTCCTTAAAATTAACACTCCAAATAAAAGACACCTCGCTATAAAGGTTGATCTGGTGATATGTAGCCTTTGCGTAAGGGAACTGTTTATTGTCCTACTTTACTGGAACTTCCACTGTGTGTAAGTATAGAGTTAAATGTACACCTGTATGTACGTATATCCAAATAAGGATTCAACGGAAGCTCTAAAGGAGGAAGTTTGAACTGACCCATGTGGTCATTCCTCGAGACGAGAAACGAGCTACTTCCTCCTCAAAGTTGATTCCACCGACTCCAATTACGTCCATCATGTCCGCTGGGTTGTTGAGGGTTCTGGTTTATGGTGTGGGGAGAGAGGGAGAAAGGAGGAAGATGGTGAGAAGGTCATTTAATAGGGACGACCAGAGAGTTAACGTGTATGTGTACTCACCCATAGAGAGGTCCATCGTTGCCTATAGCTGATACCATGATCACTCCATTTGCCGTCAACTCCCACACCTTTCAGAGAGAGAGAGAGAGAGAGAGTGTGTGTGTGTTTGTGTTGTGGGCGTCTAAACAAGTCATTTGCAAACATTCCAGCGCCAAGGAAGCGTTGCCACACACTAAAATTCCAGTCTTTTCTGCTGAAATAGTAGCATAGGAAGTCATAGCCACAATACATTTGTCCGCCAACTGTTTTGTGAGAACACCTCTAACACTAACGCATGTATATATTATAGCAGGAAGTAAAAAAGTTCAGACAATTCGGTTAGTACAATTTTTTTGCCCTTTTGCCGACTACATTCATTAATGAGGTATATACATACAACAGATAAAACATTCACAAATTGGGTCTCAAATCAAAATTTTCTACTCCTCAATTGACATTGGGTACGTAATGTTGTGTAACCTTGTCGACAAAGGGCTGGTCGAGGAAGTCAGGTCCCCCAATACTGAGGTTCAGGACGTTGATCCTCTTCAGTATGGCGTAGTTGAATGCGTCGAGGAACCAGGAGGTGTAGGACACCTGGCTGTTTGTGAAGACTCGGAATATGTAGAGGTCAGAGTCCGGAGCAAATCCGAGACACTCGGAGGAGCTGGCGATTACCCCGGCAACGAAGGTCCCGTGGCCGAGCCCGTCCTCCAGGCTTTTCTCGTCAGTCCAGTTTGACCGGTCGCGGACGTGTCTGAAGTGAGGGTGGTTCTGGGGCAGTCCAGTGTCGAATATAGCCACTCGAACTCCCTTCCCTATAGAACACATGTCAAACACACTGCTTGCTAGTTAGCACTCTATGCAACACTTTTAGCAACAGTTATAGTGAAACACTGTAAATACACTTCAGCAAGATTGACTTTATGCTAATAATATTCCACCAGTCTGCTGTATACCTACTTAACCCTTAGCAAGCCACAGGCATATATAATATGCCCAGAGCCTCCATAAGTCCATAAGAATTTATATATGGCTACACTAGGCGTTACAATTTCTGCTTATTTAAGGAGATACCGCATGGCGTCCAAAAGGTTAAACTAACCAAGAGACTGCCTGTTTCTGTGAGTTTCCTTAAAAGGAGTTTTTGTTCACTCTAATGGTATCATTACAGTCGTACACACAAACTGAACTGCTAGAGAATTGCATAAGATTTGCTCTGTTCTTGCTTCAAAACGATTCTGGTTCACCATGCTCCAATTCAAGCACAAAGTGGGGATGTGTGTGACATACCAGTGTGGCCCATGCTCCAGAGGACGTCTGCGTGGAGGGCAGAGGTCACCTGACGAGGTATTGCTCTCATTAGCCGCCGACCAGCGTACCAGTGCCTGCCAGGCTGAAATTTGTAGGTGAGAAAGAGGAGGGAGGAGGGAGGGAAAGAAAAAATGTATAGCTTTTTACGTCTTTTTCCTTTCTTCTTTAGTGTGACTTTCAAAAAGGAGCCTCCGACTAAATCTGCCACATACTGTAATATTGTTTCTCTGAAAAAGTAACATTTCTGAACACTTTCGATGCCACCCCCAAGGTGTCCACTATTCAGAGGTTTCACTTTGTGATGACGTGTGGATTTTAGCACACTCACTGGGGAATCCAGTATTGAAGATTTTGCAGGTCTCCTGGGAAGAAAAGAAATGAGTAAAAAAGGACCCATAACTGCTGTATTGCAGCCAGCCACTCTCCTAAGCCTAGCATCCCACATTGTGTAGGTAACTAATGAACTGTATGTAACTAATGAACTGTATGTATAGTCACTTTTCCACAGAGTCCACACTTAACCACAAAGTTCAGGGGGGGAGAAAAGAAAAAAAGGACCCATAGCTGCTGAGTCAGATGTATTGCAGCCAGCCACTCTCCTACGCCTGGCATCCCACATTGTGTAGGTAACTAATGAACTGTATGTATAGTCACTTTTCCACAGAGTCCACACTTAACCACAAAGTTCAGGGGGGAGAAAAGAAAAAAAGGACCCATAGCTGCTGAGTCAGATGTATTGCACTCTCCTACGCCTGGCATCCCACATTGTGTAGGTAACTAATGAACTGTATGTATAGTCACTTTTCCACAGAGTCCACACTTAACCACAAAGTTCAAGGGGGGAGACTGAGTGTCCATGTGTTTGAAAAGAAGTGACTCACCTACTCTTCCAGTCAGTCTCCCTGTCTTTGGGTATGTCTGGAGAAGGGAGGGAAGACAAGAGAGAGAGAGATCAAACAGTCTCTACCCTGTGTTGAGGTTTTAGTATATAGACTCTTTCATACTATTCATGGTCCTTTCAAGTGTAGTATAATTATACCTAGGTATACAGTGTATGTAGCTAATATAGGGTCCAAAGGGTGAGGTGGGACTCACACACTAAAGCTGGCTGCTGGGATGAGACAATTCAACAGATAAAAAGGACCCACCATCCCTAAGCATACATACAGTAGCTACACAGAAGACTTTGCCGGCACTGTGTCCACGTGTTACACCACCAGCATGCAGTGTGCAAGCAAAACAGTTATGAACATAGATGCCCTAAAGTCAGAATTTTTGCACATGCTAGCTACGGAACAACGGTTATGAACACAGATGCCCTAAAGTCAGAATTTCTGCGCATGCTATGGAACAACTACAACATTGAAGTTGCACCTTGCATGCAGTCAAGTTCACCATAGAGCGTGAGGATGGTGAGTGATACCTCATCAGTGAAGGCTTGAGAAGTTCTGGTGCTATGCCGTCTCTGTGGTGTGACTCTCCTTACCTAGTGGATGTCGCTGCAGCGCCTCCAGTAATCTTGTCTGTGTACGCTCCACGACAGTCGGAGTAAACCTGAAGTCTGCTGGTAGTACATGTCCGGCCGGGGTTGGAGCGGGGTACCACACTCCAGAGCACAACAAAAACCAAGAACACCAAAACAAAAACAACTAAACTCACCACCAGGTCCACCACGGTTTTGCAGCGACCAGGCAGGTAGCACGTCTACTGTATTTACTTCTCGAGTCTCCTTCTCTATCCTCAGTATAGATAGCTGGTGAACATCACTATGTATTCTGTATTGAAGGACGTTTTGCAGTCATGTGACAATCTGAAGGACGTGATGGGTCGAACAAAGGGTTGGGCACATCACAAACACACGAAGAGTCTATTGAGAGGTTTTTAGGCAGCCCAGCAAAAGCGTATCACAATTTCTTGACGATCCGTACAATACATCATTAGGAGCTGTGCCATAAAGAGTACATAGGTGCATATAAAGTGTATGTACATCAGAAGGCTGCTAGTCACCGTGATACACTCACACGAGCCATCTCAGACATACAATGGGTAGCCTGTAGCATGCAGCAGAACATCTGGCATAGTATATACCGTTATGAGCATATCTATTAGCTATGCTATTAGCGGGCATAGGCCTGGTTCGAGTGCATTACATGGCCTAGTCAGTAGCAGGTGTCCATCACACGCATCTGAGGCCTATAACGTTTCGAATATGATACAGTCTGTGTGGTTGTGTGTGTGTCCATATTTGTCTGGTGTAAGTGGTTGAGATGTGACACCAGAGACAGGTTCTTGTCGTCATTGGCTACACAGTCCCTCAAATAGATAATGTCTGTACGCTGGGAACAGCCGCTACAATTAAGTAATGGGCATATGCATGATGTGATAAATAGATATGCGACAGAGTATGGGAGTAGGGTAAGCGATTGGAACAACAGTTGGGCGAATGTCACACAATCAGGCAGTCACAGCTCGTCCATTGAACTACACTTAGTCGTGCAGCAAGTGGAGCCGAGAGGCATCCAAAAGTGGTTTCTCCCTATGTGTGGCTTTAGTGATTGGACATAGGGGGCCGCACCAGACTGGGGGAATGTTGTGGCATCGATATGCAGCATTAATCTAATGGATATCTTAGTCGCAGATTGCATAGTATTATATAGTCTTTGTAGATCCGCATGGTCTTTGGTTGTGGTCTTTGCCGAATGGCAACGCTGTGTTCTTGCCAATGAAGGTGGTGGCAAGTTGGGCTGAATTCAACTATGGGAGTGTAGTAGAAGGAATATGAAGGCGGCTGGGAAGTGAGAGGAAATAAGGTGGGAGAGAAGAGGTAGGAAGGTAGATTTGTGTCTCACCGCTGCTTCTCACGCTACTAGATTCTGAGAACTGATGTCAGTCGTATGGCCGGAGCGCTTGCGGTTGCTTTGGCGAGTCTGAGGAGGAGAGAGAAGAGGGTCGCAAGTCAGGTTTCTGGCAGCCATCCAGCGTGCTTTTGTAGCATGTGTACGCGTAGGATACCGGCCTTGGGCGAGGCCAGGAGTGGGGCCCCCCCCCCCTGTCAAACCAGGGGTTTCAGCCTCCGCCGCCACCCCCGGCTTCACCCCTCCTTTCCTTTCCTCCTTCTCTAGTTGGAGGGAGGGGGGGCAAGGGAAAGAGAGCCTTGGGCCCACAAAAACAACCCACAACCAGTACCGCACCGTTTTTTTTTTGTCCATTTTTTTCACCATATGCATGCTAGGGGTTTCCATAAGCCAAAAAGGAAAATTCGGCTAATACAGTGGGGCCAGAGGCATTCGAAAAGACTTCGAGACTGATCTTCCTTACCGTGAGGTTATAAGCAAACACTCGTCGCAAGGGTCCGAGAACCCGGCGATGGAATTCGTTTTCGGGGATGCCGCACGCTCTTTGGCGGTGATTGTTTCCCGTACCTCCCGGCTATGGAAAACAACACTTGGAGCCCCGTTTTTTTCTCGCCCACAACAAACGGGGACGGCACACACATTCAATTCACTTCCCTGCACAAATCCACTCATCAATTTGTGGCCACGCCCCCACAAAAATTCCAAGTTTTTTATCACGTCCCAAAGTTTGGACACGCAACTCCCGCGAGAGTTTTTGTGCGAGTGTGGCCCTGCCCCGCCCTCGATCGTTGTTGCGCCGGCCAATGGCAGTAAACAAAGCCCTGGTCCCCCCCGGGCCCCTACCAGGAAGGACGGGTTTTTTTTTGTCGCAAGCCCCCGTATTGCCAGCAGGAAAGTTAAGTTTGCTTGCTGAGGGAGACAAAACACCATCAACACCAGACCTACCTGGTGGGAGAATTGGAAAGGTTAGCTCTTTGTGAAAACTGCACCTAAATTTTTACCTTTTCTCTCTTTCCTTTTTTCCGCCCACGCCAGACAATTGGTGCGGCGTGGTGGGTGGCGGTGCCAATTGGCTTTCTCTGGCTGTTTGGGGCTCTACTTTTCTGCCTCCTCGCGTTCTTCCTTCCCTCCGGCCCCCCCGGAACCTTGGAGTGGGGGGGGGGGTGGTTGTTCTCTGCTCAGCCATGGCCGGAC